ATAATAAATTTATTATTATTAGTAGTAGTAGTAGTAGTAGTACTGCACTGGCAATTTCCAGAACCCTTCATCTCATGCTATTGCAATTGAGAGGGCTGCTTTTAGTTTGGATGTAAGAATGTCGGGACTCTTTCCAATACACAGCGGAACTGATCCTGCGATAGAATCAGGTGCCTTAGATGGTTTTCTCATCCTGCTTCGCTTAAATTGCTTTACAAATCTCCAAAGTGCCATCTGATAACAGGCTTATTGCTCTGCAAGACTCTCTCCCAGAGGCAGAGGGAATGCAGTCTTTCCAAGGCTGAAGTATACAAGTCTGAAGCCAGAAATATACAGGAAAATAAAAAATAGCCGGCATCATATTACAACGTATTTTTATACACCATATACGTATATTATGAGAGAAACTTGAGTGAAGTTATTTGAGATAAATGCAAGACAAGCAGTACCCGAGTGATGAAAAGTGGGGTGCAAGAGGGAAATATAATAGTTATTGGCATTTTATTAATGAGAATGTGCAAATTAATGCTCAAGTTGGAAAGGTGAGATGCATTTTGGCAGAGCCCAACCTTTGAAAATGTGTAAGGTAACCACTCAGCTTTCCTTCCTTTATCCCTGATGCCCAGTGGGTTAAACCAGCCTTTGCTGATCTCGTGCCCTCCAGATGTTTTGGGCTCAGAACTCCCGTCAGCCCCAGTGAGCAAAGTTGCAGCTAAAGCGAGAAATAATGGCATGTCCCTGGGGATTCACAAGGCAGTTCACTCCATTTTCCCAACGTTTCCTTAACTATTTATTTATTCATAAATATATTTATATGCCTGTATTTCATTAAAAATATTGAAGTGGTTTACAACAAAAATACATAAAAGAATTGTTAAAACAGTACAGAAAAACTTAAAAACAGATATTGGTTAACCGTTGTAGAAATATGTGTTCTTAATTGCCTGCATAGGTCTGGCAGAACAGATAAAGAATCACAAAAGGGATTTGCATAGAAACCTGCTGAACTGAGCAAGATTTCACCCCCATTCATTAGCCGATAAGTGGGGGGTTAAATACTACTGCTATGGCTGCATGCTGCTGTTTCCTGCTAGGAACAGGAGTGCACAACCAATGCATGATTTAACCCGCCCCACCCTCCTTCTCATCAGATGACACGACGAGTGATGTCAGTTGACGAGCAGGTTGCCGTGGTTTGGGGAAAATGACCTTGTGGGCCAACCTGGACCCTCTGTCCAGCTAAGATTGGCAGGCAGATCCCACCCCTGTTCTATTTTAATCTTGCAGAAGGCTGTGGGCTACCCAAAATGCCTCAAAGCACATTTCCCCAGCTATTATTGCAGATGCGGCTTTCAGGGGAAGGGAGGTATTGCATTAAATTGTTAAGTTTTATACAAATCAGCAACAATAAGATTTATTATACAACCATAGACCTTTTAATGTAAATCCTATCAACTCCTTTCTCTTTCTCAGTAAGTGATGTAGTCTGCAAGGCACAAACAAAAAAATAAAGACCAGAAAAGGTTACCTTACAGTAGTGCTATTAGTTTACTGGCCAAACCGGGGCCAGATTATTCAGTAAGGTTGCCAGACCTCTAGGGGTGACATGAATAATCCAGGTTTTCCTTTATCCCTCCAGGTGGCAGATTGCATTGCCAGGTGGGTGAGAGTGCATTAAACCATTTTTCTTAGATGACTGCATGCAGCTTGTAAGTTTCAGTCTGGCAGGAGCCAACTGCAAATTATTGCATATGCTCTTGGTGTGGGTGGGGGTCTGTACTTCTCTGCCCCCCCATTAACCTCTGTCTCCAGGACTCAGTAATGGGAGGGAGCACAGAAGAATCACCAGGGATGGCCACAATTATATCACCAGGGGGCACCTATAGGTCTCTGGTTTGGGACCTGAAATCTCAGTGCCTAGAATGCTCCTGACCTGGTAACCTTAGTTAGCAACCATCTATGTCATGACTCATCTATAGCGCATAGCATGGTTCTCAGCCAAGATGCTCCACACTGATTCATTCCCATGCACTTCCTGTGTGTTGACAGGAGTGTCAAGCCATTTCCTCTGTTATTATTATTTAGCCGAGTTCCTAACTGGTGTCATTTGTATGGCATGAAGAGTTGCAGGATGGGTTTTGGCTTCTGGGAACAGGTTTTCAATGACTGCTTATGTGCTAGTAGTCTATTACTCCAAATTGATTGGCAATTTCACATCCTTTATAGGACTCTATACACTGTTGCAGCATGCAAGCCCACTCTCTGAATGGCCAGGGACTCCACGGGCCTCAGCACTGGCTTCAGTTACCTTGGAATGAAGGTCAGTGGAAACTCTGGTGTCTTCGTCTCCAGCTTCTCGCACCAGCTTCTAAGCATCATCACACAAAATTCTTAATACACAGCCCCTTCTTGGCCAATTGTGGAAGCCATATCCAGCCAGCCGAGGTGGGCCCACCAATGTCTCTATGGCAACAGAGCAGTCTTTAAAGATGTGAATGGCAGGTACTTAGCTGAGCAGCTAAGGCAAAGGAACAAAAGAACCAGCCTGGCTGGTTCAGCAAGCTTCCTCCTATAGATTCTAGCCTCCCATACAGGTTCGGAAGAGACCCACTGGCATGGATGACTTTCAGAGTATTTGAGAAATTGATGGTTATTGCTGGCTTCTAGACATGGTAGCAATGGTATCCATCCATGGTCAGAGACAGCAATGCTTCTGAGTATCAGTTGCTGAAAACCACAGAAGGGGAAAGTGTCCTTGTGCTTGGGTCCTGCTTGCTGGTTTCCCATAATAGGCATCTGTTCATCCACTGTGAGAACAGGATGCTGGACTAAATGGGCCTGATCCATCAGGCTTTTCTACTGCTCTCAATTCTTACTCTTATCAAACATGATTGTTCTACAGTATTTGAATCTTCATGCTTGGATATTTTGAGTGTTTTCCTGCCCTTGCCCCTGGGGTATTCAGAGTGTAAAGCAACACAGGCAGCCTATGAGGTTCAACTTATTTGCCCTTGAAATTCTCAAATTAAAGGCGTTGTGTGTGTATCTAATGATGACTAACAAGGACCTCATTCAAATAATCCTGCTAATGTTCGTTCCTATATACACAGGGATGATAGCGTAACCTTCCGGACTCGTCAAACATGGCAACATCAGCTTGTTACATCATTTTATTTATGACTTAAGGGTTGTATTCAGGTGCCGGCCCTTGCCCTGTATCTCCTGTTGTAAAGATGCAAGATACTCGCCTTGCAACCACTGGGTGACTCACAGTGGCCATCACCCAGTGTGCATGTCTAAAGATGTGGTAGTCAGATCCAATCCTTTCCTGCCCAGCAATCCACTCTTGAACCAAAACTGTGCTTAGTGGGCTCACAGCCGAAGTATGTCCACTGTTTTACTTGCAGGCGATCAAATAGAAATTTTAAGAAGTGCTCCATAGCACATTTCCACCCTGTTGACTACCGAAACCAATTACACTAACTCGAAAAACAATTTAGCTGCTCTTTTTCTGTGCTCTCTGACCCAAAGCTTTCCTCCCACCGCTTCCTCAAGGCAATCCAGCCTTCCTCCTCCATCCCTTTGCCCTCTCAATTGCTGTTTTAAGTGAGATGTTTTGCCAAAGGCAGATCTGATGCTAATAAAGTACATCAGGGAGTTTTTGCATCTATTTTTGGAAGCAGATACCTTTCTAACATTTTCTATTAGCTGTCCCAAGGCTGGAGAGGAGGGTGGTAGTGGTGGGGAAGATTGTAGCCATTCTGTGCTCGGCAAAAAGCAATGAGTCAGCTAAACTGGACAGCAGCCAACTCAGAAAAAGCAGATGACTTGAAATGATTGTCCATGTAGAGCCATCTATGTATTCGCACAACTTCTGGCAGTGTTTACCTTGATTTTGCCAATCATCCCAATTGGAGGATGTCTTCACAATTTTACAGATTAAACCACACTGCTAAAAAGTGAAGCGTTTCTGAATGGCAGGAAGCCAATCTCTCAAAGAGCAATAATTTGACTCTCAAAGAGTCAAAGGATAGTTATCTTTGGATCATGTCGCACCCCTGTTGCATCAGCTCCCAGGGATAGTGGGAGTTGTACTTCAAGTGGAAGGCTACAGAGTCCCACCCTCAAATTGGGAACCAAAACTGTGCCTAAAACCATAAATGCCATGGTCCCTACCAAAGAATGTGCAGAATCAGGGAGAACTGGAGTTTCCTCCCCTCAAAAGTATCGGGCAGGGGGAGAACCACAATGCAAAACACAGCAGGGGCAATTGAAGAAACATCTGTGGCAGCTGTTGTTCAACTCCAGATCCCATTCACCCTATTGGCCATGTGGGTTGGGGCTGATGGAGCCAACATCTGCAGGGCCAGATGTTCCCTGTCCTGAGAAAGATATTCTTAAAAGGACCCTCAGCTTTGGCCATACTGCAGAGATGTGGTGATGGTGCTGCTGCTACTGGTGTGTTGGGGGTGCTCCTCATGGTCCCAAGTGCATGCAAGTCAAGGGCCTGGCAGGGATCTAGAGAAGCAGGACCAGTGGGGTGGGTGGGGAGTAGTGGAGGCTGGGGCAGTCAGGGTAGATAGATCTCAGCTGTACAGCTGGTAGGAAAGAGCAAACTCAGGTTCCTGCTTTTAGACTGGCAAGGGGGGGGATTTTTAAGACCCCCAATTCTAATGTCACACATCCAAACCTCTCCTTGTATGCCCCATGGAAGACCATAAGGTCCATAAATAGCAACACCCTAGAGGTCCCGGGCCCTAAGGAAGCTAATTAGCCTCAACCACAGCGAGGGCCTTTTCAAAACTGGCCTGGTGGAACGCTCTGTCTCATGAGACCAGGGCCCTGCGGGATGATTTCTGTAAGAATGAGTTCCACCTGGCCTTTGGCTTAGAATCAGTTTGATTCCCTCCCCCCCTTTCTTTTTCCTTTCTCCTCCTGTGAAGAGGCTGCATTTTAATTGTTTTAATGTTGTATTTTAATCTTTTTTTTAATTGTATTTTAATCAACTTGTTTTTATTATTGGTTGTTAGCCACCCTGAGCCCGGTCTTGGCTGGGGAATAAATAAAATTTATTATTATTATTATATATTAGTAAGGAAAGAGGATCTTGAACCTGTGACTTTCTGCCTCTTCCCTCCATCCTCTCCAGGATGGGCAAGGAGAGAGGTAGGCTGGACTGCAACTGAGTGGGAGAGATGGGACATGGTGGCAATTGTTTCAGGGCTGCTCTTATACCCGACCTCAGATCTTCCTCAGGTGGGATTTCAAGATTCTCTCACAAACCCTGATCCCGGGTTCTTCTGTATTTCTGTGCTGTGCATCTTTCTCTGCCAGTGACACACCCTGTGTTTGTGTATTAAACTTGTTTAATAAATTAAATCTAATCTATTAGTTATGTAGTTATACATACATAAATATATCATGTATATTAAATAATATCAACTATACTGCAAACACTTTATAATTAACGATATGGAAATTTAATTCCGTGTGTGGCCTGTGGGTTCCGTGTCAAATTATTCTTGCTGCCCGCTTGGTAGGAGTTGTTGGACTGCCCTGTTCTAATAGATTACGTCTTGAAGGCGCACCTGCAACAAAACACTACACACACCAGCTCCCTCTACTGACAAATTGTGGCCAGCCACACTTTGGCAATTAAATCTTGCTCTACGGTGGAGAGCTGGACTGCTGGAACACGGTGAAAGCATGAAGGCAGAGTTGATCTGAAGTAAGAGAAAAGGCAACAGACAGTATTCAGTGGTAGCCACATGCTGATTAGGCCCACTGCAATGGGTCTACCCCGAGTATGACTAACACTGTGTACCACTCAAGGCCCTCATTTTAATAGCTCGCAGGTACAGCCCCTCCCTCTGCACACTTCAGACCCCTTGTGTACAGAAGTGCAGAGATTTCCACTTCAGCTGTGAAATCTTATCTCCTTCACGTGTTGATCTGCTACAAAGACACTGCTGGCCTTGTAAACTAAGCAGGATCGCATGGAATCAGTCTTTCCCCTTTGAGATTTTTTTCTACAATTAAATGGGTGGCACTGTGGTCTAAACCACTGAGCCTCTTGGGCTTGCCAATCAGGTCGGCAGTTCGAAACCCTGCAATGGGGTGAGCTCCCATTGCTCAGTCCCAGCTCCTGCCAACCTAACAGTTCGAAAGCACCCCCAAAAAGTGCAAGTACTGTATTTTTTGCTCTATAAGACTCACTTTTTCCCTCCTAAAAAGTAAGGGGAAATGTGTGTGCGTCTTATGGAGCGAATGCAGGCCGCACAGCTATCCCAGAAACCAGAACAGCAAGAGGGATTGCTGCTTTCACTGCGCAGCGATCCCTCTTGCTGTTCTGGCTTCTGAGATTCAGAATATATTTTTTTTCTTGTTTTCTTCCTCCAAAAACTAGGTGCGTCTTGTGGTCTGGTGCATCTTATAGAGCGAAAAATACGGTAGATATATAGGTATTGCTCCAGCAGGAAGGTAAACGGCGTTTCCGTGTACTGCTCTGGTTTCACCAGAAGCGGCTTAGTCATGCCAGCCGCATGACCTGGAAAAACTGTCTACGGACAAACGCCGGCTCCATCGGCCAGTAAAGCAAGATGAGCACCGCAACCCCAGAGTCATTCACGGCTGGACTTAACTGTCAGGGGTCCTTTACCTTTATGCAGCATATAAATCTTATTGAACAAATAGATAACAACGGAAGATTCTTCCACCAGCCGTTATCTCACTCTTTACAGCTACCCGCAATATGCTACATCATGTTTAGGTATTAAGACAAAAGAAAAACCCAGAATTAAATGCAATGTATACAATATATGTATAAATAGCAAAGGACGCAGTGTGTGGTTGTGATGTTAAAACCCTCAGTGCAATTTTGGAGAAATGTAGGCACACAGCCCACAAAGGCCAAAGCTCCCTCACTCCTTATTGAATCACCCATGTAGACTTTCCTTCAGTTTACTGAAATGCGAGTGTGAGAATTCTGTCCATGCCCACTTGAAAAAGGCCTGCAGAGTTTCAAAATGAAAGGAGGGCAGTTGGGAAGAGTGCCATCCGTAAGGAGACTGCTGGTTCCCAGCATAGGTCTACTGAGAATGAAAACCTAAGGAAAATAACTTCTGGTACAGCTCCCTCGGCTAACCAGCTATCAAAAAGAAATGCCATACCATCCACCTTCCTCCATCCAGCCCCCGCAAAACAGTATTCAGATAGTTAGCTGTTTAAGTCAAGATAAAGCAGAATTAAACTCTACAGAAAGGAAGTACGACCAGTAAAACTATTTTGTAGGGTTCTTTTTTCTCCAAACTTTACTGTGGTGTCTCCAGACAATTTAGAAAACCAATTTGTGAGGATAAACGCCATTGGAAAGCGAAAATGTCGAACGCAAATAGCCTCGCAGCTGAGGCACCTTCTTGATGATGGGCAAGAGCTGGGAGTCCACGTGCTTCTGGTCCGCCTTGCGTCGCTCCGTTATCTCGTATTTCTGAAAAAGCAGGAAAGCGCGTCAATCATTTGTTCACCCTTTAGCGCCCTTTGCTTTAACAGGGAGCCTCCCCAGGGCTTACAACACCTCCCGCTTCCTCTAGGCTGCTGCTGTGGACCAGGATGCAAAGAACTACTTCAATACACCCGGTGACATTTAATTCTTTTTAAATAGAAAACCTCCTATCCACACGCTTGCCAATGCCATTTCACAAAATGTTTCTGAAACCCCTCTGTTTGTCAAAAGCTCCCTTGGGGGTGGGAAGCAGCAGCAGAGGCTGCTATTTCCCCATCTATGGTGGAAAACTCACTTTCTGTACCGGCACACCTGTGTGTATGTCGTGGTCTAGGAAAAAGAATTGGGCACAGGACAACAGGAAGCAGCGGTGTTTGTGTGCTGGGCTGCACGCCCTCCCTCCCAACCAAGCTATGTGATTAAAGGCTAATTTTTCTGTAAAAAAATAAGTAAGACGAGCATGAGCTCTGCAAGCCAATGAATCCCCATAGAACATGGGTAGGCAAACTAAGGCCCGGGGGACGGATCCGGCCCAATCGCCTTCTAAATGCAGCCTGCGGATGGTCCAGGAATCAGCGTGTTTTTACATGAGTAGAATGTGTCCTTTTATTTAAAACGCATCTCTAGGTTATTTGTGGGGCCTGCCTGGTGTTTTTACATGAGTAGAATGTGTGCTTTTATTTAAAACGCATCTCTGGGTTATTTGTGGGGCTTAGGAATTCGTTCACCCCTCAAAAAATAATAATAATAATAATAATAAATATAGTCCAGCCCCCTACAAGGTCTGAGGGACAGTGGACCGGCCCCCTGCTGAAAAAGTTTTCTGATCCCTGCCATAAGAAGGTAATTTGTTTACTGCAAGCTTAGGATAAAATCTGCACCTAAAATCCGGTCCTATTTATTTTGTGGAAGGCAAGTCTTTTTCTGAAGGAGGTAGGCAGCCCAACTGTGCTAATGCCAGGTCCCCATATTTTGCTGGACTACATCTCCCATCTTTGCTAGCCAGGGCATTGGGAGCTGGAATCCAAAACATGCAAAGGGCCCAAAGTTGGAGAAAACTGTATATATCACACTAACACCATCACAACAGTCAAATGCACAATGCTGGACTCACTTCTGTTCAGCAGTCCCCCAAGAGTCACTACAGTGGTACCTCGGGTTAAGTACTTAATTCGTTCCGGAGGTCCGTTCTGAACCTGAAACTGTTCTTAACTTGAAGCACCACTTTAGCCTGGTACACTCTTCATTCAATAAATATTATGAACTTAGGTATATCAAAGATACATACAAAGTACTCTCAGGTCCCCTTCTGATATTTTACATTCTGTGGTTAGAGCAAATAAGTTGAACAACAGCAGAGCTTGGCAGTTTGTTCTAATCAAGGTGTTACTTGAGTTGTCAGGTGGGCCAAACCCCTCTCTGACATGCTATCTGGGGGATATTGTTTGTCCTGCTGGGGACTTGTTAATACAGTGGTACCTCGGGTTAACTACTTAATTCGTTCCGGAGGTCTGTTCTTAACCTGAACTGTATTTATCCTGAAGCACCACTTTAGCTAATGGGGTCTCCTGCTGCTGCCGTGCCGCCAGAGCACGATTTCTGTTCTCATCCTGAAGCAAAGTTCTTAACCCGAGGTACTATTTCTGGGTTAGCGGAGTCTGTAACCTGAAGCGTATGTAATCCGAGGTACCACTGTACAAAGATTTGGTGGCCTGCAAATCTACATGTGTTTTTTCTCCAAGATTTGCTAACTCATAGGTGCTCAAGACAAACAGACACACACACACACACACACACACGCTTTGGCCCATCTCATTCACCCAGAAAACACACCCACCTCTTTCTCAGTGTCAAAAATTTCCCCCTCCTGGTGTTTGGGTTTACGCAGCCTCTTCTTCTTGAAGTAAAGATCGCTGAGGTGCTTTGGAAGTTTCACACTGGAGATGTCAACCTTGGTTGAAGTGGCAATGACGAACTTCTGGTGAGCCCTGCGCAGGGGGACCCGGTTGATGGTCAGGGGACCTGCAGGCAAGACACAGGACAAGTGAATGACATACGGTGGCCTTGAGGCACCAGGAAAAGGCCCGGCTGGTATGTGTTTTCCTGCCATTCAAGCGGGACACAACGTTGCTGCTCTGCTCAAAGGAATCAACTGAAAACCCCCAATAAAAACAAAACAAGCGAATCCAGCTATTCTATACTCTCAAGAAAAATGCAGCCAGCAAAGGAAACTGGCAGAACAGCCTGGGAATGACAGGAAAACACACTTTTTAAAAAATAATAATACACATTTATTGCTAAGTACCTGCTACTCCACCTTAGTTCAAGAACTTCCAGAGTGGCTTTCAGGGTAAAAAAGGAAACGGAAATAGAACTCAGAAGAGGCACAAGATATTGTTGGGGTGTGGTTTCTTTGGGTCTTGAAAGTAATTCTGGAAGTGCCATTTGTCAAGTTTGGGTGTGACATTTACTGTTTTTTGTGCAGTACTTTCTAAAGCAGTGCACACTGCTTTATATGAGGGCTTTATATGAGGGGATATGAGGGGTAAAATCCATTAAGATTCACCACACAATAGTGGGATTCCATGATTTGTTTACTGTAAGAAATGTATTTGAGGGATAAATAGTATGCTACAAGTCTATTCGGTTAACCATTCCACTGAGTTCAACAGAATTTGTTCCCAAGTGTGTATAGCTATGAATCAGGAAGTCATAGCTGTCAACTTTTCCCTTTTCTTGCGAGGAATCTTATTCGGAATAAGGGAAATTCCCTTTAAAAAAGGGAAACGTTGACAGCTATGGGAAGTCCCCAGTTTGAACCTTGCCCTTGGCACGAAGTCACCAAATGGAACTCTTTCTCAAACTCAGCCCCTGCTCTCACATCATGTGGGATAATAGTGATTCACCTTTAGGGGCTGTTGCATGACATGGTACTCCAGATATTGCTGGACTCTGAACTGCCACCAGCCACAGCCAGCTTGGTCCATGGCCAGTTCATCAACATCTGCAGGGTGACAGGTCCCCCATGCCTGGTGTAAGGTTTACAACTAGTTAGCAAAGTTCTTTGAATAGGTCAGAGAGCTCTATGTGTTTACTATTGTGGTAATATTTGAGGTGTATTTACTATATCCGCTACTTTCACCCCTGTATTTGTTTTAATGAAGGAAATGAAATTTATTTAAGAGTCCCAAGATACAAAATGCATCAAATAGTTAATCCAGGTGAGCAGAGATTACAGGAAAGCAAATGTTATAGGACCAAGCTGTCGATGTAAGATTAGCTTACCTGTTACAAGCAACAGACCACTTCCGAGCTGCTTCAGAAAGACCACACGCTAGAAACAAGACAGACGAGGTTTGTAAATAGGGTGAAGGAACACCAATCACCTGCAAATAACACTAAACTATGGTTTAACCTTAGAATCCCCGCGACTGGGTGAGCTCCCGTTGCTCGGTCCCTGCTCCTGCCCACCTAGCAGTTCGAAAGCACGTCAAAGTGCAAGTAGATAAATAGGCGGGAAAGTAAACGGCGTTTCCGTGCACTGCTCTGGTTCGCCAGAAGCGGCTTAGTCGTGCTGGCCACATGACCCGGAAGCTGAGCCGGCTCCCTTGGCCAATAAAGCGAGATGAGCGCCACAACCCTGGAGTCGGCCACGACTGGACCTAATGGTCAGGGGCCTCTTTACCTTTCTTGTTTAACCTTATGTCTGAAAACTGCCCATAGCTGAACTTTGGCTCGCTTACTGCTAACAACCACAATCTGAAGCCATGGTTTATGAACTGCAGGTTGTTTTAGATAAGCAGATAATGGCTCAGCTTTGTGGGTCATTCACAGAGTTCCCCTTACCTTGCCTCGGTGGCGACCAGTTAGCAGGATCACAACAGTTCCTGGGGTTATTGAAGCCCGCAGCTTCCTCTTGTGTAGGGCAAAATTCTTTTTGCCATGACTCAGGAGTTTGCGGGGAACATCTTCTGTTGGGTAGTACCTTGGCTGAAAGGAGAAGAATTATCAGCTTTCGCAGTTTAGTTTTGACTTCAGCACCCCCTTTCTTCCAAGCACTCATTCTTGCTTGACGTGGGAAAACCCCAGCCATGTGTTTGCCCAACAGCCCAAAGGTCTAGCAGCATACAGTGCTGGTACATATGCAACCAATTCTGAAATCTATAGATCTGAATGTGTTCTTGTGTAGGAAAGCACCAGAGCACCGATGCAATTAAAGAAAGCGGCCTATGAAGTTTTCCATTCATCTGTCTTTAAACATATCAAAGCAAAGACAGGCATCACCCCTACAGAACACAAAATCAGACAGGTGGACACCTGCATGGATAAGGGCCTTTTTCTACTTTGCACAGAAATGGTGAAAATTGATAATGCAAAGTTTAATGATAATTCTCTGCACAAATCTCAATTTGTTTTTAAATCTCAATTTGTTTTTGAGCTTATTTGCATGGTGGGAATGTATCTTATCACAAAGAAAGAACATTAGGTGAGCATTCACCACACAAGGATTTAAAACATTCAGCTGTCACTTATACTTTACAGCAGGTGTGGCCTGCCACTTGTCTGTTGGACTGCAAACACTCATTGATCATGCAGTTTGGGGTTAATGGCAGATAGAGTCTGACAATACCCAGAGGGACAAATCTTCCTGCCCCCCCACCCCCCGTGGCTTAAACAAGAGAATAAGCAGGTGGTTGTTTTGATTCAAGTGTCACCTGCTACAGGTAGAAACATTTATGCAGACCACCTGTGATCATCCGTACACACTTTGCACAATCATGCTGCAACAGCAGCAGGCCACTGTATCATTCCTAATTAGTGAAGTCCAGATGTGTTCCTATTATCATGCTATTCTCCTTCCTGCACACAGCGGGGGAAGGGGGCAGATTTCAGGCTCATGGAATCTTATTTTCCTTTCAGCAGAACCCCAAGATATAACCACTAGCGCCAGGTGCAAAAGACACATAAGTAGAATTAAAGAACAGAGGCTATGATACTATTCTACTTAAGTTTTCACAAGCACTGTGCTCAATGGTTCAGATGAAGGTTTCAGTCTGACTTAAAATTACACTTGATCCAGTATTACTAAGTTGGCTATCAGCTGGCGATTCTGCACAAATCAGGCAAATTTCGCACATACAATTTTGTCATATCCTGTAATTGCGTTCTTTTGAGAAGAGGCTATAGGTTTCAATAATACAGCACTAAATACTGCTTTAATTCATTTTTTATTAACTATTTTATTCTGTTTTTCAACAGATACAAAATGAAGTGAGCAACAAAATCGAAAACAGGAAACAGAAGGGATGAAGAACCAAAGTATCTTAGGCATGTATGGTATTTACTTTACACACCGCTTGTTTAAAAAATACTTCAAAGCAGTTTGCAAATAAAATTATAAGAAAAATTAATAATTTAAGACCTTCAAAAAGTGAAACAGACTAAAAACAGATTAAAATCTATATCAACTTTATAAGAAAACATTTCTCTTTAGCAGGTGCTGAAGAATACCACTGAAGATGCCTGCCTGATATAAATGTAAAAGATGGGGTCTTATTTTCATATGTGGTGGAACTGCAGTTATCCGAGACTTCTGGAACAATATTTATGATGAACTTAAAAAGATATTTAAACTTCATTTTAAAAAAAGACCAGAAACCCTCCTCCTAGGTACATTGCCAATAGAAATAGGAAAAAATATAAAAACATTGTTCATGTATGCAACAACGGCAGCCAGAATATTAGTGGCAAGAAATTCAATACCTACAATAGCAGAATGGCAAACCCTAATGATAGAATATCTACAGCTAGCAAAGATGACAGGGATAGTAAGAGATCAATCGAAACAGAATGTATATAAAGAATGGAGAATATTTAAAGAATATCTAAAAAATTATTGTAAGAATAAGAATCTCCTGGCAGAACTAGAGTGATTCTTGTAAATAAAAGGTGGAAATGATATCATGTTTGGACGTACGAAAATAATTAAGTTAATTTGAGACTGTACATTATAAAGGAAAGTATAGATATAGTAAATGAAAACATTTGGAAGTCTTTTTTAGCTGATTTATAGTAATGTTTTGGTTCTTTTTTGTGAGTTTGTAAATATATGGCATTTACATATATGAAAAGTACAGTGGATGCTCGGATTGCGAACATGATCCGTGCGGGATGCACGTCTGCGCACACGTGGGTTGTAATTTGGTGCTTCTGCGCATGTGCAAAGCGCGATTTAGCGCTTCTGCACATGCGCGACCGCTGAAACCCAGAAGTAGCCCGTTCCGGTACTTCTGGGTTTCGGAAGGGAAGTCCATAACCCGAAAAAACGCAACCTGAAGTGACTGTAACCCGAGGTATGACTGTATAGTATTATGTGGGGTTTTTTCTCTTCTCTTTTTTCCTTTTTATTTTCTTTCTTCTTTATTTTCTCGCTTTGTGTCTGTATTAAATGTCATTGCGTTTTGATTTTTTTAATTCAAATTAATAAAGATTTAATAAAAAAATATAAATATAATCGTTCAGTAGCACAGGATAGAAAGCATGGTTGCCTCAATATAATCCTGAACTACATTCTGTTGTTGTGGAAGCTAACAGACAACATACAAAGGAATCAAAGGACAAACTCTTGCCAACTGTTAAGCAAGTAATAGAGTAGAACCTTGCTGAAACACTTGTATCTGTATGTGCAGCCTGTCACAAGAGAGCAAATTCTGGATAGTGAGCATCTATTGAATATGCCTAAGCTGACTTTCTTTGTAATCAGAAGTATATTGCTGTGTATCTAAATCTGTCTGCCTGGAGCAGCACTGTGAGCTGGAAAATGCTTGTTTATGTGTGGATAGACATTGCTGCATCCCTCCTCCCTTTGATTCACCTTTGTGGTTTTATAAAAATAGTATTAATAATCATTTGAAAACAGGGTGCCTCTTAGCACATTCTGAGCCAAAGAATTTGCTTTCAGTACCATTAACAGGGCGAAATGGAGCTCAGAATGATTCCATGCAATAGTCCACTCCTGGTTCACTTACTTCACTTCAGTAGCCCAAAAGTGGTTTTGTTGTCCAGTAGGGTACTTGGGAACCTAAAGCCCTTGCCAACCTACTGCAGATTCTCCAGAGATTTACCAGTAGATCCTGATCTAACCGTGGCCCAGTACTGCCATACAGACTGTTGAAGCAGCCAAATTTCTTTGAGAGGAAGACATTAAGCTATTTGAAGAGAACTATAGCACTGAGAACACCCTAAAGTAATTTTTTGGTTTTTTTATTAGTCAGCCTACCCACAGATTATGTCATCTGTTATGCCTAAAAAGAACGAAAGAACCAACTTTTGTATCTGTACCCTGGCTGCTCACCTGCACAGCCCCCACTAGGCAGAATGTACTCCCCCAAAGCAAGTGGCTGTTTTCAAGCCTGATGAATTTTTACTGTGCTCAGTTATTCATAAGGGAATTGCAGCATTTAATAGATGACATGCAAGCACCTGTAGCTTGACACCTCCCCCTGCAAAAATTTCTGCTGCAACCTACTTTTTATTCCCAATTTACTACGTGGGAGTGGCAACAGGAAGAGGGAAAGTGGTCAGCCAGCAAGTGTATAAGCGAAGGTGTAATTTGAGACCAAACGTGGCACATTCAACCTTGAAAGCCTTAACTGCTACAGTGCACCAGCTTGCAGACAAGTTCTTACCATTTTGCGAAGTTTGACCACCCTGTTGCCTCCATTCTTATCACCTCCAACAGGCTTCGTGATAGTAGCTGGCTCTTTCTCTCTTTTCTTCTTTTCTATCTGAAGACAAAACAAAACACAAACTACTTTAGAAATATATTTGCAAACTAGCTTTCAATACAGTGCAGAAGAGAAGCTCTGCTGCCTCATACTTGGAATCTGGCTGAGATTCAGCCAGATGGCTCTGATAAGTCTGCAAAAGCTGAGCCCAGTCAAGAGCCCTCCCCTCTTGCTTGTTCCAGGCACCTGATATTCAGAGGTACACTGACTTTAAATGTGGAGGTTCAATGTCACCAACATGGCCAACAGCTGTTGAGATATGAATTTATTATTACAGGGAGATTAACCTGACGTCATTCAACAGCCACAGGAGGTGCAACTATAAGCTCTCTTCCTCCCTTCACAGGTGGAAGAACATTCAGCCTCATCAGCTGGCCAGGAATTGCAGAATTAAAGGAAAGCATCTGCCATCAGACCCAGAGCCACTGGCAGGATGTGCACCCTGCCTCCCAGGAAGTACATCACAGTAAGGGCCCCAACGATTGGTCAAAAAAAAAGAGCGCTGCAGAGGTCTTGCTCCCCTCCCCACGCCAGAAAGATCACTTATAAGAACCAGGGTCCGAGCTGGGTTTATTCCTCATTCCTTCTCCTTTTCCACTGAACAGCAGGGTAAAAATGAAATCTATCTAGCCCTTTTAAAAAGCCTTCATTAAGCTGCACGCCAGCAAATGTTCTGTATGTTAAATGGCAGCTTGTAAGTTATGCAGCTCTACCTACTATGAGCTCTGAAAGACTGCTAGTTCCCCCTACCTTAGTTTCTGGAGCTTTGTACTTGCGCTTGTACATGGCCTTCCGAGCATACATGGCAGACCGGGAATACTTCCCGATTCCCCGGGCCAGCACTGGGTTGCGGCTGGCATGAACCTTCCGAACCCTCTTTGCTTTCTTCTCGCCCACCATCTAGAAAGCAGAGAAATCAACATTAGCAAATTGCAGAACATAAGCAAGAAAAAGGAAAAGAGCATCGCACAATGGAAAAAGACATTTAAGGTGTTTTTTTTTTGTTTTAAAAAAGGTTTCTAGCCCTCAACATTGCACAACAGTTACAATCAATACAGCATTGCTTCATTGGGATAAAGAATAGTTCTGAAATATCAAAAACGAGCTACAGTAGTAGCATGGAACTAAAACAAAGACCACATTCTTTAATGATAACAGGCCTCTTCCATTAGTGTTACCATAACTTTCAGATATATTCTGATACACACACACACACACACGTATGTGGTGGCAATTATCCACTATGAAGCAGACTGTAGTCCACAAAAACTTATGTTGCAATATTGGCTGTGTACACAACCACACACTTAAAGCACACAAATTCCCCCGGGAAATGTAGTTGGTTAAGGGTGCTGGGAATTTTGCTCTGTGTGGAGTAAACTTTAGTTCCCAGAATTCCTTTGGGGAAGCCATGAGCATTAAATATATGGTGGCCATGGAACCACTGATGTCTATGCTACACTAGATATGTTGCAGAGTCCCCCTTTGGTCTTTTAATTATGTACTTCAGTTAGCTTATGAACATGAAACTTAACCCCTGAGCTGATGTCTATGCTAGATACAGTCAGATCCAATGCAAATTTATTTATAACAACACCAAAGTAATTGATGATAGCTTTCCCAAGCAAGCTTAGGTAGGATTACAGCTCTAGTCTCCCAGAAGAGGAGAGGGAAGGCTTGTTTTAAGAATATAACCAGGGCGTGCTGGAACCATCCTGTTCTCAAAGTGGCCAACCACATTCCTATGGGAAGCCTGCAAGCAGGACCAAAACACAAGAGCCCTCTCCCCTCGTCAGTAGCATTGCTGCCTCCAACTCTGGAGGCAGAGCATAGCATAGCCATCATGGCTAGTAGCCATTGATAGCCTTCTCCTCAATGAATTATAAGAACAGAAGAATAACCTGCTGGATGGGAAAACCCGCAAGCAACACTCTTCCCCACTGGTCCAAAAGGTTTAAAAATATTATATTTAGACAAAATGCCCACTTCACGACTGGCATCTTATAGACACTTTCCTGCTTTTCATAAATAAGAGGTCAGCTGACTATTAAAAAGAAGCTTTAAGGAGGTGACAAAAGTCACAAAAGAACTCCCGGCCAACTGGTCTACAGAGACATTTCCAGGTCGAACTTGAACACACGACCCTTTTCTCATGCTCAAAGACCCAACCCAATGCACCAATATAGGGCCACCCACAAAACATGCCACACATCGAGGCTGGTGAAATCGTGGCCTAGAAGAGACAGTATTAGGATGGGCCGAGCGCGACCCTGGAGAAACACCTGAGACACGCGTTAAGTGTTTCCCACGTAGCCACGACCAACCCCAGAGGGCGAGAACCATTTGCAAGATCGTGGAAGGACTCAAGAACGTGCGGCTAAGAAGCCGACAGCTCCTCCCGTTGAAAAACCTTTCAAGCGACCTGTTGGGTCTGAGATGCTCCCCCCACCCCCCGTCGCAAGACACCCAAGAACGGTGACAACACGTGTTCCTCCTCCGAGCCGCGCGCCTCTTCGGTGCAATACGGCAGCCCCCTGCAAACAACCGGCCTGCCAAGCGAGTGAATCCGCGGCGGCCTAAAACTCCGGCGGCGCTTGCCGGGGAATCCCACCCCGCCGACCAAAAGAACAGCCCCGCAGCGCCCGCCGCACGTCCGCCGAGGAGCCTGCTCCTACCCGCACCTCGCTCGGTGCCTCTTTAAGGCGGATGGCAGCGGATTATAACGGCGGGCCTGAGGAGCGAAAAGCCACCACGACGCCATACTTACCTTCGGAGAAGGGAAAAAGAGGCAATATCCGGGACCTCGGCGGTAAAGAGAAAGCGGGCGTGACGTCACCGCGCGCGACCCAAGGCATTCTGGGGGATGTAGTTTACTGTGCTGTAACCTTCCCACAGTTTGACTTCAGCCCCAAAGGCTCACTCCACTATTGTCTCCCGAGACAGCCGGATGCCAACTAACTTTGTGGTCGTAGCTGCTATTCCGAAAGGAGCATAGATAGGCATGATATCAATTCCTTGCCGGATGTTCCTTAGCAAGGAATTTGCCTTTCCCCCGGTTGCTGTACACTGGATCGACATCTTCATTATTACAATTAATTTATTACTTGCCTTCTAAACCACCGTCTCTAGACGATTTGCACATAAGATAAATTTACACATAAAACCAGTTAAAAACATACATACAGCAAATGCATTTAAAACCAGACTAAAATCCAAACAAGTGGACACTACAGTGGTACCTCGGGTTACATTCGCTTCAGGTTACAGACGCTTCAGGTTACGGACTCCGCTAACCCAGAAATATTACCTCGGGTTAAGAACTTTGCTTCAGGATGAGAACAGAAATCGTGTTCCGGCGGGGCAGCGGCAGCAGCTGGAGGCCCCATTTGCTGAAGTGGTGCTTCAGGTTAAGAACAGTTTCAGGTTAAGTATGGACCTCCGGAAAGAATTAAGTACTTAACCCGAAGTACCACTGTAGTGGTAAAGACCCATTTATCCAGCTGACAAAGCCTGTTGGAACAAAAAAAAAACTTCAATAGTTTCTGAAAAGTGTAGATAATGGGTGCCTTTCGATCTCAAGAGTTCTCTTCCAAAGAACAGGGACAGCCACATTAAAGCCCTGCTCCGAGTTACTGCAGAACGTGTTTCTGAGATCTTTGGAACTTGCGGCAGAAAATCTCCCACAGGTCACAGGGAACTACGGGCAGTTCATGAAAACCACCAGTGGTGTCCAAACTTTTTTCAAAGAGGACCAGATTTAATGAAGTGAAGGGCCGTGAGGGCCGACCAAAGTTGTTAATCTTTTTTTAGGATTCAAGTTGTTGAGGTATTTTTAGGATTATACCCCAGGAAATAAACTGTCACAGGGGTGGATTAAACCCACTGGCGGACTGGATTAGGCCCCCAAAACAGACTTCAGACATACCTGCCTTATACTGTACTATAACACGCTTGGTTGTTTTCAGGGTTCCACAAGAGTCTTTGCTGTTTTCCTATTCAGCATTACAAAATATTACAAAAGGAGCCATCTGTCATAAAGCATGCTTTACGATACGTTTCCTTCTTTTATCATAACGCAATATAAATAACAAAATTTTTGGTCTGAGAGTGTGGTCTGAGAGCTTTTGGTTGGTGCTTTGGATAGTTGACGGCTTGAGAACCACTGCTTTGGGTTTTGTGATGGAAGAAAGGTGGGGAGTAAATGTAATAAAATTGGCAGTTCTCTGAATGTTGAAAGCTGGCTGTGTTTTGTTCATTACTGGAAGATATATGGATGAATATTATTTTTGTAAATTATGGAATATATATAATAAATCTAACTTATTAAAATACATTTTATACTATATTCATATCCTACATTGTAAAATAGTACATTAAAGACTCATACACTTATTATTGGCCTGAGTATTCATGATCGAGAGTAGATTTTATCATATATATGAAGTTAGGAAGTTAGTCAGATATAGTCAAAATAAATAAAAAAACTAAAAATTGTCCAGTAGCACCTTAGAGACTAAGTTTGTTCTGGGTACAGTACAGTATAAGCTTTCGTGCGCATGCACACTTCTTCAGATACACATGCACACGAAAGCTTATACCCAGAACAAACTTAGTTGGCCTCTAAGGTGCTACTGGACGATTTTTTAGTTTTTTTATTTATTTCGACTGCATCAGACCAACACGGCTACCAACCTACCTGAATCTAGAGTCATATATAGGTGTAAGGACAAGTTCAAGCAGTGAAGCCAAATTGCAAAAAGCACGGACTGCAGCAATTCTGCTACAACTTTCACGCATGCAAATAAAGCCTGGAAATCATTCACATCAGGCGCTGGTAACCGAACCACCCAGATTTGCAAACTAGAAGGAAAAAAAACATGCAAGTATGGAAAGGGTGCCAACCATAGAAATGCTGCTGTCTAGAGCTTTCCGCCAAGAGCGGCTGCCTCCCAATGCATACCAGAACTCGAGGCGCTGCGTGCCTCTCTGCCCTCGGCTGTCTCTATGGTCATTCTAGGAGGCGTCCCTTTTCCTCCCCTGTGGGCGGGACCTGCCGCCGCCGCGTCGCGGGCGTGTGACGCGCTAGTGGCTGCGACGCTTTGCTCTGTGTGGCTCTCCCTCCCAGGCCCTGAATGCGGCCGGGCCCGGGTTGGTTTCTGCTCCCCACCTCCCGGGCCGGGCTCCCCGTGAGGCGAAGGGGCCCCATGTGAGAAAGCCGGAGACGGAAAGATGACCTCGAGGAGGTGAGCGGGGAAGAACGGCAGGCCCCGCCCCTCCGCTCTTCCTGTGGGGGAAGGGGGCTTGGCCCCTCCCCACTGCTGTTGCCATGGGGACAGGTGGGGGTAGCCCCAATCCCTCAGGTCCTTAGTGGGGTGGGGTGAGGTGGGGGGCGGCCTTTCCTTTGCCGCAGGACAGGCTATACGGGGGCGGGGGGGGCGGAGAAGCAGAGGGGCTCCTTCCCCCTGCAATGAAGACAGCCCCCAGTTCTAGCCTGGCGAAGAGAGCGAGCTCGTACTCTGCTTCTCCACACCATGCATTTAAAAGCACATGCAACGCCACATTTAAAGCCCATGAGAGAGTCCTGGGAACTGTAGGTTGCCCAGAGTGCTGGGAATTGTAGCTCTCTCTGTGTGTTTGGACTTGCAGCTCCCAGGATTCCTTCTGGGGGCGGGGGAAGTCATGGTGTGCTTGCTTTGAAGGTGTGCTTGATGTGGGTCGGCAGCCAGATCCCTTGGCCGAGTCAGCTGCAGAGATTTGTGGGGACTGTGCTGGACTGTGTGTAGGGGAGGGAGGGGACTTTGGAGGCCAGGAACAACGATGTTCCCAGAACATATAAGCCAGGGGCTTTACAAGGCTTAAAGGTTCACGGGCAGCCAAGCAACCCATGTTCCAAGGAAAGGTGGCTTTGGGAAACTACATCCTCTCTCATCTTTTGCATAATTCAGTGTGCTCTTATCACTTCACCTGTCTCTACTACACCATACATCAAAAGTTTCCCTCTTAGCAAACTACAGTTCCCATGATTCTTTGGGGAAAGTCATGTGTTTTAAATGTGTGTTGGATGTGCTTTAAAGGCATGGTGCAGATCTGCCCTGCCTCTTCACAAAAAAGCTCCTCACTGCAAGATGTGGCTATCAACTTTAAATGTCTATGGCTGTTCTTTGCTCTCTTGTTTTGGTAATGTGGTTGGCTGTTTTGTTTTTGATCCTTCTTCGTGCAATGCATTACTAATTTGTGGAATTTTAAACTATGAATCTGTATCTTGCTGTATTGTTGTGCTGGATGTTTTCTGTGTTTTAAATATTTCCCAGAAGCCCTAAAAGGTAGGGTGGAAATGTCTTAATAAAATTTCCCACTGCCAAATGGGGTGGTGACCACTAGCTGTAGAAGGGGATTTTAGGCAAATTAAGAACCAAAGAAGAAGAACCCTGCAAAAGCTCACCTAGTCTAGCATCCTACTCATAATGGGCAGCCAGATGCCTTGAACAATTTGGAATGTGTCATTGAACTGTCATAGTGCCCCTCGCTTGCCTGTTATTGGAGTGTTGAAAACTCAGACTTTTGTATTGCTGGAATGTTGCCTACTGTAACAAAGATATCCTGTTCTCGCAGTGGCCAGCCAGATGTTTGGACAGCCTGAGTGCAACAGCATCCTCCCAGCTTGTGATTCTCAGCAACTAGTGTTCAGAGGCATTCTGCCTCCTACAGTGGAATTAGAACATAGCTATTATGACTCTTCTTTGGTATCCTTATTCTCTAAGAATTTGTCTATACAGTGGTACCTCGGGTTACATACGCTTCAGGTTACATACGCTTCAGGTTACACACTCCACTAACCCAGAAATAGTGCTTCAGGTTAAGAACTTTGCTTCAGGATAAGAACAGAAATCAGGCTCTGGTGGCAGCAGGAGGCCCCATTAGCTAAAGTGGTGCTTCAGGTTAAGAACAGTTTCAGGTTAAGAACAGACCTCTGGAACGAATTAAGTACTTAACCCGAGGTACCACTGTATCCTTTTTAAAGCCATACAAATTGGTAGCCATCACTACATCTTGTAATGAATTTCATAGTTTTAACTATGTGATGTATGAAGAAGCACCTACTGTACTTTTGACCTCATTGGACAGCCCTAAGTTCTCATGTTATGAGAGCTGGATAAACACTTTCTCCACACATTATTTTAGTGATGGCTGTGTGAAATCTCCAGGTTCAGAGGCAGTCTGTCCTGAATGTCAGTTGTTGGGGGACAACAGAGAGTGATTATGCCCTGCCTTGTCTTGTGGTCATCTTTCTGCCAACTCTGAGAAGTAGGTTGATGGACCAGAAACAGCTTTGGTCTGATCTTTCAGGGCTGCCATTAAAGCATTATGGGCAAATGAGAACAGTGCCCAGGCATTTGGGTCGTAAGTGGTTGAAAGCCAGGTGCAAAATGTGCCTGATGTCTGGCTCGTTTCAAACACCTCCCAATACTAAAATTTGTCAGTTTTGTATCCCATACCCTCCTGGTCACATTTTTTGATTGGATGCTATCTCAGTTCCTTTTAAATACCAGTCCTACTCCAGCATTGCCAAGCATATTCATTTTTAATTCCTGATTTTGTTTTATTGATAAGAGCCCTTTATATTTCCTTATATTCCCCATTATAGGTGAGGTATAACCTGTCATACATTGGATTACATTAGCAAATAATTTCAAAAAAATGCTTCCTGCAGGCCCACCACCATTTTCTTCTTCTCTGTATTTGTAAAATGGCATAGCCCGCCTCAGACCCTAGAATCAGGGTGGTATATCAGCCTTAAATGAGTGTCTGACGTCTGAGTGCTGTTGTTCCGATCACATTTCCGGAACCACTTGGCATAACTTGTTGGCCTACGGCTGACTTGATACACCCCCAAATCCTTCTATTTTTGGCCATTGACAAAATGCCGCTTCCCACTTTGAGCCAAATATACCTGGAGCCCCAGATAGCCTCGGGACAAAAGTTACAAATAGAGCAGCCACCTCGGCCAGTGACTGCCGGAACTCCCATTCTTCCTCTGGGTTCCATTAGATGGGTTGAGTCTGGGGCTTTTTATGGTCTCTGCTTCAGGTTTTCAAAATGGCTCCTTTAAATCCCACAGCCAAACCCCCACAAAATTCTGTGGCAGCCATTAAGATTTTGCCAGGTGCTGTTAGCTTGCATTTCATAATCTGTGAAATGGAAAAATGTTGCTGGTGGGCTGTGATGGTGGGTGGTAGAAGGTCAGAGGAAAAGAGGTATTGAAAAAGAATGGGCAGTGTGGGGAATGGTGAGAAGTGATTTTCAAGCTGCCCCCTGCCCCTCACAGCTCTAGCCTCCTCCCTTCCTGAAGAAGCCAAAGACTCACTTAGTCTTGAGTGGTCATGTTCCACCTGCAGTGGAGCCCCATTTTGCATCAACTTGCCTGCTGAAGAACATCAGAAGTCCTGAAGGCCACAGAGGATGATGGGGAATTTCCGAGGTGCATGTTCAGTGGTTCATATAGAGAAACCTTTGCCAACTTGGTGCCTTCCCGTCAGCCTGGTGGGAGTTGTAGTCTAGGTTGGCAAAGACTGATGCTGAGCTTTGGTAGATTGGTTGTGATGGGCAAGCTGAAGCTTGCCTGCTGTTGCTGATTCCTTTTTGTCATCAAGGAACGTCTGATGAGGTTTTATGAAATGTGGTTTTGACCAGTTCAGATTACTGGTAATTTCCAACCGGAGTTTGTTCTACCCATGGTTTACACTTTATTTTTGAAAGCCGCCCTGAGAACGTTTCTGCCTAAAGGGTGGGATAAAAAGGTAAAGGGAGACCCCTGATCATTAGGTCCAGTCGTGCCCGACTCTGGGGTTGCGGCGCTCATCTCCCTTTATTGGCCGAGGGAGCCGGCGTACAGCTTCCAGGTCATGTGGCCAGCATGACTAAGCCGCTTCTGGCGAACCAGAGCAGCGCACGGAAATGCCGTTTACCTTCCCGCTGGAATGGTACCTATTTATCTACTTGCACTTTGACGTGCTTTCGAACTGCTAGGTTGGCAGGAGCAAGGACTGAGCAACGGGAGCTCACCCCATCGCGGGGATTCGAACCGCCGACCTTCTGGTCAGCAAGTCCTAGGCTCTGTGGTTTAACCCACAGCGCCACCTGCGTCCTGTAAAGGGTGGGATAGAATTGCTATAAATAAATTAACAAACAAACAAATAATAATGATTGATTCTAAGCTATGGTTTGTGGTCCACGTGGCTTGAATAGTTTCGCTCTTCATTCCATGAGGATCCCTGGATCCTTTTTTTAATGAGGTTATTATTATCTCCCCCAATAAAACAGTAAAATAGCAGGTACAAAAAATACAAAAAAGTCCTCTCTTAAAAGAAATTCTTAGACATAACCACCCACAGAAGTTCTTACCTGAACTCTTTCCTTTCTTCTCCCAGCCTCTCACCCTGGGAGGCCGTCATTTTCCTGTCTCTCATCCAGGGCCCTCCATCAGCTATCTGCCCCCCCCCATGAGTATACAAATTAGAACCTTAATAAAGGCCACAGACATAGGACTCTAAAGAAAGAAGAAAATAAAGAAGGAAATGGATAATAAGAAGAGAGGAAAGAGAAAGAAAATAAGCTTTAAAAGACAAAAGAAAAATAAACATTTGAGAAAGATACAAAAACAAAACTTCCGATTTTACATCTGCCAGTTACATAAAAAAGAGGCGTGTTTAAATCATTCAATCCATGCTAACATCTGTCTTCTCCACTTTCTGTTATTTGCTTCAAGTCACGGTGTCTCCGAATCATTCATTTCTTTTCATCATGAAAAGTCCAAGACCCACTGTCAAAGATCCCTGGATCCTATTCCAAATATCAGCCAACATTTCAAACCATGGATTGACAATTTAGATTAATGCTAAACCACACCTTGGCCCAAAGGACTGCAAGCCAACTTCAGGGGCTGTGGCTTCAGATCCTGGTTTGGCATACACTTACAAGTCATTCCCACCCACTCCCCGCGCCCCCCGATGGTGCTGGTTCAAAAATCAGAGAAACCGTGGTTTGGTTTTAAATCTGAAGCAATTCCACTGAACTGGTGGAAGCCCAAGACAAGCGGGGTAGAAAGGAAGAGAGAAGAACCGGGGAGCACACATAGCTAGTGTAGCGTTCCCTGTGCGATTCGATTTGCATGAATTTCTAGGTAGTATTTTTTTAAAAACCAGGGTTCTTGCTGGCCTCCCCCATCCCCAAAGTCTAAATCTAGATTGCAAGTTCATCAGGGCAGGGACCTGGCGCTTTGTTCTGTTACTCTAAACTAGGCTTCCTCAACCTCATCCCTCCAGATGTTTTTGGCCTACAGATGATCCCTAGCTAGCAGGACCATTGGTCAGGGATGATGGGAACTGTAGTCTCAAAACATCTGGAGGGCTGAGGTTGAGAAAGCCTGCTCTAAGCACTGCCCAATGGTGCAGTATATAAATATCTTAATTACCAATGATGATAACTCATTAGGCTTTTCAGGAATCTTGAGTCTTTGCCCCAGGGTGGGAAGTGCAGCCTAAGCCAAAATGTTGGCTCAAGTTAGCCATATTTCTAAAAATAAGTCAGACAGCACTGACAGCATAGGCGGCAAACGCTGGGTGAAAGGTGCTGTTTGCGTGGAGGACTTCGCTGGCAAGGTGCTATATTAGTCACGGGAAAGGATGGTTGTGGGTGGCGAAGACCAAGAGGATATATGGAGGGCACTTGCAAGGTATTCCCAGGCTGGGATGGCATTGAGTCTTTGCGAAGTCTGCCAGCTCAACGCTTCAGAGGAATCCTTTGGAGCTGAACCTTCTAAAGGCACGAGTGGATTCCCCATCAGCTTTCGCAGCTGCATTTGTGAAGCATGAGGTTGTATCTTCCCTGTTGGTTTGTCTTACTCTGTTTGAAGTCTCGGTTGGCAATGCAAATCCTTCTCATGGGGCTTCTCCCACAAATGAAAGTCTTATAACTTAGAGAGAGAGAGAGAGAAGGGAGATTTTGCCCCGCATAGTCTTGTCATTGCATTTACTTTACTCAGGCATGCAAACAGCTGCTCGCCTGTGGCGATCAGGTGCTAGCTGCAGGGGAGCATCTGTAAATGGCAGGTGGGCTGGTTCTCTTTCCTTTCAGGTTATCAGCGCGCCATAGGTAAAGGTAAAGGGAACCCTGACCATTAGGTCCAGTTGTGGCCGACTCTGGGGTTGCGGCGCTTATCTCGCTTTATTGGCCGAGGGAGCCGGTGTACAGCTTCCGGGTCATGTGGCCAGCATGACTAAGCCGCTTCTGGCGAACCAGAGTAGCGCACGGAAACGCTGTTTACCTTCCCGCCAGAGCGGTACCTATTTATCTACTTGCACTTTGTTTGACGTGCTTTCGAACTGCTAGGTTGGCAGGAGCAGGGACCGAGCAACGGGAGCTCACCCCGTCGTGGGGATTCGAACCGCCGACCTTCTGATCGGCAAGTCCTAGGATCTGTGGTTTAACCCACAGCGCCACCCGCGTCCCTTCAGCGCGCCATAGATGACACAAGAGTAAAGGAAGGGCCGTGCTTCAGTGGCAGCACAATGCTTTGCATTTAGAAGCACCTGGGTTCAATCCCTGGCGTCTCAGGTAGGGCTGGGGAAGGCTCTGGTCTGGAATGCTGGAGCATTGCTGCCGGTCAGTGTAGACAATATTGAACCAGATGGGCCACAAGCATATTCAATGTGTAAATAATATGTTTTTGTTTTAAGAGGACTAGTAGTATGAGGATTTGTTCGGTTTTGCTCATGACTTAGATTGCTAAAACATGGCTTTTTTGTTGCTGCGGGGGGGGACCCCATTCTTTCTCTCTCTTTTTTTTAATGGTATTTTTTATTAATTTTAACATATTATAAAATGTACCACAAAACTTATCACTTATACAATCTTTTTGGACTTCCATCAGCACCTCTGATGATCCACCGTTTTAACCACTTCTTATGCATTTCTTAACTTTATATTGCCTTTACACCTCTTAACAAATCATCCTTCCCCCTTATCCATTTTTACAGTACTTCTAATAATACTCCTCACAAAACTTTTTGCAACCCTACAAATGTCGTCTGTTCTTCACAATTACTTTTCTAATAGTCCGTAAATTTACTCCAGTCTTCCGTGAATTTCTGGTCTCGCCGGTTTCGAATCCTTCCTGTTAGTTTATCTAATTCTGCATAGTCCATTAACTTCATCCTCCATTCTTCAATCGTTGGTAACTCTTCTTGCTTCCATTTTTGGGCCAATAATATTCTTGCTGCTGTTACTGCATATAAAAAGAGCTTACATTCCTTTCTATTTATATCACACCCCACCATTCTTTCTCTTTATAGATGGTTTCACCCAAATATTACCGGAGTGGAGGCAGAGAACCTTCTGCTGACACGAGGAGTAGATGGCAGCTTTCTGGCCCGGCCCAGCAAGAGCAACCCTGGGGACTTCACCCTTTCAGTTCGGTGAGTCAATTGTGAGAGAGAGTTTTGCATGCAGGAGATCCTAGGGTCAGTCCCATTCAATCTCCATTTGACAACCTTACTAAGACCTCTTTAATCAGGTGATTGGCCTAGAGTATATGTATGCAAATATAGCCATAGTTTCATTGTGTGGTGAACCAGCAACCCCTTTCCTTCCTCCCTTTGGAGGTTGAGAAGCCCAGTTTCTGAAGAGGGCAGCGAAGTGGGAGGAGGGAGCCTGGCCTGAGATCACAGGCCTTGGAGAGCCGCTGCCAATCAGATAATTTAGATAAAGGGTGGGGAAACTGCAGCCTTCACAGTGTGGCTGGATTCCCCTTCCCATCAGCATCCGACTAAACATCAGGAATGACTTTCTGACAGTAAGAACAGTTAAACAGTATCCCTTGAAAAGTTGTGGACTCTCCTTCCTTGGAGATTCTAAAGCAGAGGTCAGATGGCCATCTTGTCAGGGATTCTTTAGCTGGATTCCTGCATCGCAGGGGGTCAGACTTGATGACCCTCGAGGTCCCTTTCAACTCTACAATTTTTGTTTTCATTCTATGAACATAAATGTAAAGGGACCCCTGACCATTAGGTCCAGTCGTGGCTGACTCTGGGGTTGTGGCGCTCATCTTGCTTTATTGGCCGAGGGAGCCGGCGTACAGCTTCTGGGTCATGTGGCCAGCATGACTAAGCTGCTTCTGGCGAACCAGAGCAGCGCACGGAAGGGCCGTTTACCTTCCCGCCAGAGCAGTACTGATTTATCTACTTGCACTTTGATGTGCTTTTGAACTGCTAGGTTGGCAGGAGCAGGGACCAAGCAACGGGAGCTCACCACGTCGTGGGGATTCGAACCGCCGACCTTCTGATCGGCAAGCCCTAGGCTCTGTGGTTTAACCCACAGCGCCACCTGCGTCCCTATGAGCATACTTGAACGCTAATTGCAGGAGAATCATCTTTGTTGTTAGAACCCAAAAAACTTGTAGAACCTTGGGAGAAGGTTAAAGACACTTGCTTTTTGCCGCTCTCGCTCACTGCAGGCAGTACATTTAAAAACAAAAGCAGAAAACATAGGCACTGAGCTCAGCTCGGTGCCCCAAGCGGCCACCTGCTCTCCCACATCCAAGGCCGGCCCTGACGGGGAGAGATGGGTCTGACTTGATACAAGGCAGCTCCATGTGATCATATATGCGTTCTTGTAAGTCGGCTTTCTTGCTGTCTCAACCAGGCGGAATGGAGCAGTCACCCACATCAAGATCCAGAATACAGGCGACTACTACGACCTCTATGGAGGGGAGAAGTTTGCCACCTTGGCAGAGCTGGTACAGTATTACATGGAACATCACGGGCAGCTCAAGGAGAAGAACGGCGACGTGATCGAGCTGAAGTATCCGCTCAACTGTGCTGACCCCACGTCTGAAAGGTGAGAAAGCCGGGAGTTGTGCGAGGAGGCGGCTGGGCACCAAACAGGATGATTTCCTGGTGATAGGGCATGACGACTGTGGTGGCGTCAAGCAGTGGCGGAGGAACCCTCTCCAGCACCTGGGGCGGGGCAGCCTGTACAGAGTGCGCATTTGCGGCATCCTGTGTGTGCGCACTCTGTACGGGATGCTGCACATGCGCACTCCGTACGGGCTGCTGCTTGCACAGCGACCATACAGGCTGCCACACAAGCGGCATCCCATACGGAGTGTACATGTGCGGCAGCCCATACAGTCGCCATGCAAGAGGCAGCCTGTACGGACGCTGCGTGCCCTTGGCCACTCTGCAGCTGGAGGGAGGCAGGGGCCATCTTTTATCCACCCCCAGAGTGGCACCTGGGGCGGATTGCCCCCTCTGCCCCCCACTTTGTACGCCCCTGGCGTCAAGGTAGCCCCTGCAAATTCTGGGTGTGGCCAGTGTTAGCATTAATGGTCTAGGTGCGAGCAGGCCCGGCTTCCCCCCGAGTCAGGCCTACTGGTGAACCAAGCTGGTCAGCAGCTTTACAGGGCTAGGAGAGACCCTCTTGCCCTCTTGGGTCATCTGATCCCTCCTGAGTTTGACGCTGCAGGACCACCCTTTGGCCACCTGCAGTGGTGGCTCTGCAGTGCAGGCGGTAGCTCACCCTGCTTATGCACTGCCTTTTCACTTTGCTTTTATGTCCTTTAAAATATTTTTGGCTATACAGTAAGCCCGCAACTTACACACATTTAACTTGTGTACATTCAGCTTTACACGCTTGGCAAACAAATAAATATTTTTTTTAAAGAGAGGATGGGTGCCTGGGGAAAAAGACTTTGTAATTCCATCTGCCATCGAACCCTGTGTGTTTTGACAATACATGATTTTGGCTTTAGGCACAGTATCCGGAACGTAACCCCGCGGGTAACCTGCGGGCTTCCTGTAATTTAGCTGTTTCCTAAAATTTATGTACCGCTTGATTGTGATTTGCAAGAAGGAAAATAAAATAAAATTATCAGGAAATACAGTTAAAATCAACTTTTAAAAACATTTTAAAAAATAAAATCAATGATAAACAGAAAACAGATTAAAACAAGTGTCCGCATTACATGTATGTGAATAGGCTTGCCTAAAAATGTTTCTGGCAGGCGCTGAAAGGAGTACAGTACAGCAAAGGTGGCTGCCTGATGTCAACAGGCAGGGAGTTCCAAAGTGTAGGTGCCAACACACTAAAAGATTGCTTTCTTACGAATGCAGAGTGAGTATTATGTGGCACCTGTACCAGGGCCAGTTTTGCAGATTGAAGCAGTGTAGTGGGCCTATGTGGAGTAAGTCCATCTGGCACGTAAATGGGTCCCAAGTTGTTAATGGTTTTGTATATTAATAGCAACATATTGAACTTGGCCTGGTAACAAATCGGCAACTGGTGCAGGTCTCTGGGCAGAGGTGTTACATAAGAGTGAAGTGTGCCTTCCAGTTTCAGCGACCACTTTTTTTAAAAGAAATGTATATTTAAAAGGCTTGTGCATCAGGTATCATAAATTTTGGCACTTCTGCATTGACCCCTACATCACACCTGTTTGTGGAACAGTTGCTGAGCGCAGGGTTCGAAATTAACAGGGTGCCAGGCGCATTTTGCGCCTAAAGATTCTCCATTTGCGAGCACCTCCAAAAGTCTGGGTGCCATTTTTTAGTGCCTGGCCAACGCTCAAGGATTACTGAAATGTATGTGATTTGAAGCTTCGAAGTATATGTGAAGGATAGACAATATATTAAGGAGTCTAACAGTAAAGAACAGAGTGTTTTGAAAACTGAACTGTGGTACCAATATTTTTATTGTAAACACCAAATTAAGCATGCATTAACAATTTCTGCTAAAACTGTGTCACTTATGTGAATTGCATCTCTCCCCCCCCCCCCCCGGTGGTGACTAGACTTTCTGTTTTGGCGCCCACTACTCAGGTCCTGGAAGCCATTTGGCTCCTAGCTTTTCTATCCCACTGGCTGAGTGCAGGCAACTAGTGTGTTGGCCCGATGCGACTCACCTCATTTTGCTGCCTTTCCAAAGGTGGTTTCATGGGCATCTTTCTGGAAAAGAAGCGGAGAAGCTGTTGACAGAAAAAGGGAAACATGGGAGTTTTCTTGTCCGCGAGAGCCAGAGCCACCCGGGAGACTTTGTCCTTTCCGTTCGGACGGGGGACGATAAAGGAGAGAGCAACGATGGGAAGTCCAAAGTGACGCATGTCATGATCCGGTGCCAGGTAAAGGAATGAGGATGTGGGTGAGGCAAAGAAGCTGTAGGCCTGGAGGAGGAAATTGCTGGAGCAATTTCTGGGTGTGCTTTAATGGAGGTGGAAAGTTTGCATTCTGGTTCTCTGCATCTAGGTAAAGGTAAAGGGACCCCTGACCATTAGGTCCAGTCGTGGCCGATTCTGGGGTTGCGGCGCTCATCTTGCTTTATTGGCTGAGGGAGCCGGCGTACAGCTTCTGGGTCATGTGGCCAGCATGACTAAGCCGCTTCTGGCGAACCAGAGCAGAGCACGGAAACGCCGTTTACCTTCCCGCCGGAGCGGTACCTATTTATCTACTTGCACTTTGATGTGCTTTCGAACTGCTAGGTTGGCAGGAGCTGGACTGAGCAACGGGAGCTTACCCCGTCGCGGGGATTCAAACCGCCGACCTTCTGATTGGCAAGTCCTAGGTTCTGTGGTTTAACCCACAGCGCCACCCACGTCCCTCTCTGCATCTAATTGCAGTCAAATCTTGGTTCCCGGATGCCTCTGTTTTGGAACGTTTCGGCTCCCGAATGTCGAAAACCCAGATCTAAGTGTTCCGGTTTTTAAACGTTTTTCAGAACCCGAACGGCCGACACGGCTTCTGTTTGAATGCAAGAAGCTCTTGCAGCCAACCGGAAAGCCGCACCTCGGTTGTTGAATGTTTTGGAAGTCGAACGGTCTTCCAGAATGGATTACGTTTGACAACCGAGGTTTGACTGTAGTGGAGGATTTTTTTACTGTATCCCCCCCCCCCATTTTTTATTAAAGTTTTTTTTTTTGTAATACAATACAATCAAAAACAAGGTAATCTAAATAAAAACAGCTAAAGAAAAGAAAATGCAGAGTCCTCTCTCGAAGGTAGCTCTTCGTTCTTGTCTCACACAGAAAGGGTGGATCCTCGCAGCTTTCACCTGGGAATTTTTCTTTCTTCTCTGAGCCTCCCTCCCTGGGAGATCTTTCACCCAGTGACCTTCACTGACCATCCATCACCGTTGTGTCTGTATAATCCCAATAAAGACCTAGAGCAGAGGAGACCAAGGAAAACGAAAGAGAAAGAAAGAAAGAATAATGAAGATAAAAGGAAAGAGAAAGAGAAATCCTCCTCCTAAGCCAGCAACTTTAAAGAATTAAAAATGTGCTTTTTGGTGTGTGCTGAGGCTGGGGTTTTAGTCCTATGCAGGTTTATGCAGCCTGAATTGATTTTCTTGATAGATGGAAAATAATTTCTAAAAGTGACTGGCCTAGAATAAATTATGCAAATCCCGGGCACCCGCGTGCATAGCTAACTAGCGCCTGTCTCTTCTCCTTTCCTTCCAAGGATATGAAATACGACGTTGGTGGAGGGGAGAGATTTGATTCCTTGACAGACCTTGTGGAGCATTACAAGAAGAACCCCATGGTGGAAACCCTGGGGACAGTCCTTCAACTGAAGCAGGTGAGAAGAAAAGCTCCTGGTGATGAGCATTTTGGAGAGGGATGGGATCCAGTCCTCTGCAATGGCCCTGGTGTGCTCATGGGCCCGTGTGCTTTTGTGTGCAGAGTGAGCCCTTCCGTGTGGATCCCTTCCCTCTCCAGGCTTCTGATCCTCGGCAGGGCATTGCTTTGCAAGCAGAAGGTCCCAGATCCCTGGCATTTGATGGCTGGCTCCTTTCAGAGCACAGTATCAGTTGAAACTTAGTTTTTTACGTTCACAGAACATGCTCTTCTAAATGTATGTTTCCCCCCTCGTTGCCCTGATCTTGACTTTGGAGAAAGGGCTATAAGGGCCGCTTTGGAAGTCAATGCAAGGGCCAGGTGCCACCATGCCCCCCCCTCAAAAAACTTTGCTTACAGCCCCCAAGCTGGATGAATGGGTCTTGAATCCAAACTCTTGGAAATAGGTGCATCATTTGGAGCGCATGAACATTTTCCATACAGTATGAATGGATCTTACATGGGAGCTCTGTCCCAGGGATGGTAAAGTAAAGGTAAAGGGACCCCTGCCCATTAGGTCCAGTCGTGGACGACCCTGGGGTTGCAGTCCTCATCTCGGTTTATTGGCCGAGGGAGCCGGTGTACAGCTTCCAGGTCATGTGGCCAGCATGACTAAGCCGCTTCTGGCAAACCAGAGCAGCGCACAGAAATGCCGTTTACCTTCCCGCCGGAGTGGTACCTATTTATCTACTTGCACTTTGATGTGCTTTCGAACTGCTAGGTTGGCAGGAGCAGGGACCGAGCAACGGGAGCTCCCCCCGTTGCGGGGATTCGAACCACCGATCCTTCTGATCGGCAAGTCCTAGGCTCTGTGGTTTAACCCACAGCGCCACCCGTGTCCCTCCCCTGGATGGTGCCTATACACAAAAACGTCTATGCTCACCTGCCTCTCTTTCTTCCTCCACAGCCCCTCAACACCACCCGCATCAATGCGGCAGAGATTGAGAGCCGTGTCAAAGAACTGAGCAAGCTGGCAGAGACCACCGACAAAGTTAAACAAGGCTTCTGGGAAGAATTTGAGGTAAGTGGGGTCTTCTGCCTCCACTGTCGGAGTCAGTAAGTGCTTCCGAATGCAAGTTGCTGGAAACCACAGGAAGGGAGAGGGCTGTTGTGCTTGAATCTTGCTTGAGGGTTTTCCATTGGGGCAACTGGTTGGCCACCGTGAGAAGAGGATGCTAGACTAGACGTGCCATTGGCCTGATCTAGCCATTGACTCTTCTTAACTAAAAGTGTGTCGCGTGTGGAGCTGTTTTGCGTGCATCTGTGATTTCGCATATTGCTTTGAACTTACCAGCTCGTCGCTTGGGCTGCAGTTGGTTTCTTGTGCATGTTCAGTCTTTCAGTACAACTCGGAACAATGGTTGTGAGTTGCTCTTAGAGTTTAGGCACTTCTGAGGAACAAACTTTGCCTCCCAACGTTTTCTTTGCCTCTGGGTGAGGTTGCTGGTTTGTTGGTGGAAAGGTAAGAGCTTTCCATAGCATCGCTGCGGCACCACTAGAGGGAGCCATGGCACCGATGGATTTCTCTGGGTGCTTCTTCCTAAAGACTCAGTGGCTATTGCCCAGCTTGAGAGACCCACTAAGCATTTTGGTTTTCTGTGACCGAAAAAGGACCTTGTTTTTAAACCTGGTTAAGGAGGCAAACCAGGGGACATGTGGTCTAAACCACAGAGCCTAGGGCTTGCCGATCAGAAGGTTGGCGGTTCAAATCCCCGCGATGGGGCGAGCTCCCGTTCCTCGGTCCCTGCTCCTGCCAACCTAGCAGTTTGAAAGCACGTCAAAGTGCAAGTAGATAAATAGGTACCACTCTGGCGGGAAGGTAAATGGCGTTTCCGTACGCTGCTCTGGTTCGCCAGAAGCGGCTTAGTCATGCTGGCCACATGACCTGGAAGCTGTACGGCGGGTCCCTCGGCCAATAAAGGGAGATGAGCGCCGCAACCCCAGAGTCGGCCACGACTGGACCTAATGGACAGGGGTCCCCTTTACCTTTTTATCCCACCCTTTAGGCAGAAATGTTCTCAGGGCGGCTGAATCCGTGGAATTCTATAAAATGCTTAGCGTTGGTTCACGGCCATGGTTATCCAGCTGCTGCTTACAAGGCAGGGTCCACCCTCATCCCCGCAGGGATATTCATAGTGGCATCTTTCTTTGGCACTTGCCTTTGTGTCTTTGGCCCACGATGGGTGGGGGTGGGCACATGCTGGTGAAATTCGGGGCTGGGGCTGGTGGAGGAAGCGGTAAACACTTTGCAAGATTCGTTGAATCCTCCTTGTTCTTTGTTCAGACTCTCCAGCAGCAAGAATGCAAACTCCTCTACAGCCGTAAAGAGGGGCAGCGGCAGGAGAACAAGAACAAGAACAGATACAAGAATATTTTGCCCTGTGAGTACTGAATGCTCTGTCCTTGCCTCTTCCTCAAAGCCGAGATTCCTGGCCAGTAAGATTCACCCGGTTAACCTTTGAGCTTTCACGTCTGTTGGTGAGAATGTGCAGCCTTCTTTTCTGACACTTCCAGTTAAAAGGGTCTCTGCTAGCAGGAGAGGCCCCTTTCCATGCCACTCTGGAGAGCCGTTGGCAGGCCCTCTTCAGCCTGGTTCCCTCCTGATGTGGCTGCGGCTCTCAACTCCCACCATCCCTGGCCATTGGCCATGCTGACTGGAGTTAATGGAAGTTTGAGCCGAGCAATGTTCAAATATTTCCTTTGAAAAGTACGTGGAAACTTCAGCTGGTCCAGAATGCTGCGGCCAGACTGCTGACGAGGCCAAACTGTTAGACTGTTGACTCATAAATATTTTAAAAAAATATTTCCTCCCAGTTTTTAAAAGAAGTTTTACAAAGATACAAATCCAATATTTTCCCAATAAACATGTATTTTTTTTTACTTCCCCCACCCCTTTTGGGGTTTCTTATATTTTTAAAATTTGTAACACTGCATTTCCTTCATTATGCCAATTCTTAATTACTCCCTGGTTTTCCTTTAACATGAATTTCAACTGCTTGGTTTTAAGTTAATCCTGCCAATGAACATATATGTACAAAAACCTTTCAAATAATCCACAAATTTTCCCCAGTCTTTGATAAAGCTTTTTGGTTCTCCTGGTTTCTTATTGCTCCCTAAAGTTTTGCCATTTCTGCATAGTCCATTAATTTAGTCTGTGACTCCTCCTTGGTTGGTGCAGAATCTTCTTTCCATCTCTGAGCATAAATGATCCTGGCTGCGGTAGTAGCATACATAAACAGGGGTGGTGTGGTTTGTTTGTTTTTTGGTCTTTAGGTAACTCTGTACTGATTATCCCTAAAAGAAAACCTCCTGGTTTTTTAATAAAAGTTACTTTAAACATTTTCTTCAATTCATTATAAATCATTTCCCAGAAAGCTTTTGCTATCTTACAAAACCACTGACTGTTGAGGATGTGCGTGGCTATCACATTTGGCCATCGCAGGCTGGCTTAGAGTAGGGATGGGAAGGCAAGTAGGAGGAGGAAGGAGAAATTGAAAAGAAATGAGGCAGTTTCTCCTCCGGTCTGCTTTCCCATTCCACCTAACCTCAGCCAGCCATGATAGGTAAGGCTGGTTTTCAGCTTAGCATGAAATCTGGCCTGTAATTAGCTCGTTTTGCCTGGAGAGAAATTTCCAGCTCACGTTCTCACTAACACAGAGAATAAACTTCTGAAATGCTTTTTTCCCTGGTTGCCCGGGCACAACTGTGGTTCGCCCGAGGCAACCAGCTGGGTAGCAGTGGACAACTAATATCTGACTAAGTAATTGCTGGTTGTAACTGTTTAATAAGGTGTGTCTTTGTTTTTCCCTTCCCTCCTTCCAGTTGACCATACCAGAGTTGTCCTTCATGACGGTGATCCGAATGAGCCTGTTTCTGATTACATAAATGCCAATATTATCATGGTAAGGGTGTTTGTGGGGACCCCCCCTCCTGCCTCTGGGAGACTTGCAGACTTAATCTTTACTGTTGAGGGGAGGGGATAGTCTGGAGGAGCATCCCCTACCAGATAGTTAGTGGACCCTAATTACCTGTTGGTTGGACAGTGCTCTCGAAGCTGCCAACATGAGCTTGACGTAACTGCGGGAGGCAATGGAAGACAGGAGTGCCTGGCATGCTCTGGTCCAGGGGGTCACGAAGAGTCGGACACGACTAAACGACTAAACAACACCAACATTATTACCTGTCTGGTGTGGGTAGGGGAGGGCCAATCCTGGGATAAGTTAAATTTTTGTTGTTGTTTAGTCGTGTCCGACTCTTCGTGACTCCCTGGACCAGAGCACACCAGGCACTCCAGTCTTCCACTGCCTCCCGCAGTTTGGTCAAACTCATGTTAGTAGCTTTGAGAACACTGTCCAACCATCTCGTCCTCTGTCGTCCCCTTCTCCTTGTGCCCTCAAGGACCTTTTAGCTCCCGGTATTTCAGCTGAGTTGTTGCATTCATTTATTTGGAGCATTTTTACCGTGTCCTTTAGCTAAAAAGGCTTAGATGCAATCAATTAAAGAAAATAGTCTCTCCCCACAGATTTATAATCTGAACATATAACACGAAAGGAAGGAATGGGGAGGCCATCTCCCGCTTTTTCCTGCTGCTGGCAGGGCCCATTTGAAGGAGAAGAGGCGCAAGGGATGGTTGGCCTCTCCTTCCCTTAATTATGCCCCCAGCTCGGGATGAACCATGCTGCTTGGAAAGGAGGAGAGATTTAGTTTCCAGAAAGTTGCCTCCCTTTGCTGATTGCCCCTGCTGTTTTTATAGATAAGCTGTTAAGTTGATGTTTATTGTTTCCATGCATTCTTTAGTGTAATCTGATTTGTGAGGCTCAGCTGAAAAGGGCAGTGCAGTAGGATTGTGTCTTGTGGGTGTGCGTGTTGTGTTCTTTGGGGATGGGGGTCAGGGTAGTGTGGAAAGCTGAAACTGCATACAGTGGTACCTTGGTTTTTGAACTTAATCCGTTCCGGAAGACCGTTCGACTTCCGAAACATTCAAAAACCAAGGCACAAATGGCAGTCTGCCAATTCAATAGAGAAAATTGTGAAAAACAACAGATAGCCATTTATTTCTGAGGTGCGTTCGAAAACGGAAACATTTACCTCCGGGTTTTCAGCGTTCGAAAACTGAAACGTCCAAAAACTGAGGTACCACAGTATAGTCAAAACAACTCCCTAGAACCAGCCACACACAAGCAATCTTACCTTCTGGAACCAGAGCTAGATGTCGTGAAGGCTGCCAGAGGTTCCCAGAGCCTGGTAAGCAAGGCAGAGGGCTTCAAAGCTCTTTCTGCAAGGAGGGAGCACATTGTTCTCCTTGGAGAAAAACGATATGCTATAAAGGCAAGAGACAAACAAGCAAATAAAATATCCTTTCCTTTGCTGGAAATCATCACTCAGGAACACATTCTGTTCCGGAATACTGTGCTGCTTTTGGGACAGGTGTGGCACAGGTGTGCGAAGGAAGATTTCTGGTGGCAGAGTCTTCCAAAACAAATCCTGCCCTGCTCCACTCTTGAATGTCATGGGAATTCACGTGGAAGTATCCTGAGTCTCTACCCTGGGACATGATGTGGGGCCCAGCCAGGCTGCGCCTTGCCCTTTTAAGACAAACTACAAACTTTTGCTTGAAGGCTTTTGTCTCAGCGATTTAATAATAATAACAACAATAGTAATAATAGTAATAATAGTAATAATAATAGTAGTAATAATAATAACGATAATAATTTATACCCCGCCCTCCCCAGCCAAGGCCGGGCTCAGGGCAGCTAACAAGCAAAAATAAAAACAAGTTGAATGAATACAACTTAAAAACAAGATTAAAATACAACATTAAAATATCGAAACATTAAAATATTAAAATGCAGCCTCATCACAGGAGGAGAAAGGAAAAGGAAGAGGGGGAGTGAATCAAATTGGCTCTAAGCCAAAGGCCAGGCGGAACAACTCTGTCTTACAGGTCCTGCGGAAAGAAATCAGATCCCGCAGGGCCCTGGTCTCATGAGGCAGAGCGTTCCACCAGGCCGGAGCCAGTGTTGAGAAGGCCCTGGCTCTGGTTGAGGCTAATCTGACTTCCTTAGGGCCCGGGACCTCTAGGGTGTTGCAATTTATGGACCTTAAGGTCCTCTGTGGGGCATACCGGGAGAGGCGGTCCCGTAGGTACGAGGGTCCTAGGCTGTGAAGGGAATGGTTGGGGGCTATGGAGGTGGGTGTCAGTGTTGAGGTTTGTATTTCATTTTAATCTTCCAGTTAGAGGGTGGGAGTATTGTTCTGTTTAGTGTTTACGGGCTTCTAATGTTTTCTACTACTGTAGCAGGGGTTGGTGTTTTGTTTTCTCAATATGGTGTATGGAACATTTAATATGTTATATCAGGCATGTCCAACTCCCAAGAGACTGTGATCTGCTCACAGTATTAAAATGCTGTCTGTGATCTACCCGTTGTCATTGCCAGGCAAACTTGAGCTTTTTTTAGGGGGAGCAAAAGTTGTTGAGCTTTTCTTAGGGGAGCCTAAGACCTTGGATGCAACGCAATCGACCGGAAGATCGTGATCGACCTGTTGGACACGCCCTTGTTATATGATTCCCCCATTTTCTATGAAATAATGTATTCATGACTGTATGTACCGTATTTTTCGCTCTATAAGACGCACTTTTCCCCTCCTAAAAAGTAAGGGGAAATGTGTGTGCGTCTTATGGAGCGAATGCAGGCTTTGCGGGCTATCCCAGAAGCCAGAACAGCAAGAGGGAGCGCTGCACAGCTATCCCTGGCTTTTGCGGGAAAAGAAAAAGCACCCAAGAGCCACGCTCCCTTTAAAGAGTGTGCGGCTCTTGCGGGAGGTTGGGGGAAAGCCAGGACGCTTGCTTTCGCTGAAGCCAGGAGAGCAAGAGGGATCAGCGCGCACCGATCCCGCTTGCTCTCCTGACTTCAGGGATAGCCCCGCAAAGCCTCCTGAGTGAAGAGGGAGTGCTCCCTCTTCGCTCAGGAGGCTTCTTATTTCTTGTTTCCCCCCCCTCCCCTAAAAACTAGGTGCGTCTTATGGAGTGAAAAGTTGCTTGAAGACCCTTTAGGTGAGAAGTGGCTTATAACTTAACTATTATTCTTATTTTGCAGCCGGAGTTTGAAACCAAGTGCAACAATGCAAAGCCCAAGAAGAGCTACATTGCCACCCAAGGCTGCTTGCAGAACACCGTCAACGACTTCTGGAGGATGGTGTTCCAGGAGAACTCGCGCGTGATCGTTATGACGACGAAAGAAGTCGAGAGGGGAAAGGTAAGGAGCCCACCTCGCTCAGGGGATCTTGCAATGCTGATCAGCCTCTGAGCCTATCAAAACAAAATAAATTCCTTCCAGTAGCACCTTAGAGACCAACTAAGTTTGTTATTGGTATGAGCTTTCGTCTCAGGGTGGATTTGATTTACTTCCATCAGCCTCCACATCATATGGCCTCTCTGTCTGGGGATGATGGGAGTTGTAGCCCAATACATATGGAGAACTTCAGTTGGCTGACATTGATGAAACCAGCAGCCCACCACCACCCTGTCTTGTTTTCCAGAGCAAGTGCGTAAAATACTGGCCAGATGAACATGCCCTAAAAGAATACGGTGTGATGCGCGTCCGAAATGTCAAAGAGAGTGCGGCTCATGATTACACGTTACGAGAACTCAAGCTTTCAAAGGTTGGGCAGGTAAGTCTGTGAAGTTATTTCTTTAGTTCTGGCCAGCCTCTGGCTCATATTCTTCAAATGTGGTAGCAGCCAGACCTAAAGAAGAGCCCGCTTCTGTCCCATATATGTTTGTTTACATACGGCTAATCATTAAAAAAAAAAATCAGAGCAGTTTGTGCCAATTGTACGAAAACCCAAACCATATAAAAATGATAAAATCAGAAGTCAGCTAACGGTTGGAAATCCTTAACTTCCTGAAAAGGCCAGGCAGAATAGAAAAGTTTTTAGCAGTTGTTTAAAAGTTGAACCACGAAGCGCTTGCTGAATCTCCATTGGCAGGGAGTTCCACAGAACTGGGCCAATGGCATAAAATGCACTGTTGTTGTCAAAGAAGCCTCGCCAACTTGGGGAATGATCAACAGTTCTCCTGAAGGTGATCTCAGTGATTGAACTGGAATATAAGGCAATCCCTGAGGTACCCTGGAGCTAAGTTGTTCAGGGCTTTGTAAAATCCACCCTCAGCACTATCCATGTCACACATTAAAAACTTCCCTGAACAGGGCTGCCTTCAGATGTCTTCTAAACGTCAGGTAGTTGTTTATTTCTTTGACATCTGATGGGAGGGCGTTCCACAGGGCGGGTGCCACTACCGAGAAGGCCTTCTGCCTGGTTCCCTGTAATCTAACTTCTCGCAGTGGGGGAACCGCCAGAAGGCCTTTGGAGCTGGACCTCAGTGTCCACGCTGAACGATGGGGGTGAAGATGCTTCTTCAGCAAACATGGAGGCTGAGCATAGCCATTGGGGCTAGTCTCCATTGAGAGCCCTCTTCTCCATGAATTGGTCCAATTTTCTTTTAAAGCCTCCAAGTTTCGGCCATTGCTGCTTCTTGGAGTGAGTTCCGTAGTTCATGCAATGTGTGAAGAAGGACTTTGTTTTATCTGTCTTGAATCTCTCCTCTGAAAAAAGGTCTTGGTTTGCCAGGAATGCATATAATGTTGGGGGGTGGGCAGTCTGATCTCCTGAGGGAGGGGCTTCTTCTGTAACTGGGGTGCTGCTGTTGAGATGACTCCTCCTCATCTCCAGTGGCGCACCCTCCCCCACCCCCAAAGTGCTCCTTAAAAGGCAGGAAAAGATATTTGGCTGCCATCTCTCCAGGGCAACACCGAACGAACAGTCTGGCAGTATCACTTCAGAACCTGGCCTGACCATGGAGTCCCCAGTGATCCTGGAGGAGTTCTAGATTTCTTAGAAGAGGTTCATCACAAGCAAGAAAACATCTCAGATGCTGGCCCAGTTGTGGTCCATTGCAGGTACTGTGATGGTTGGGCTCTGCCAGGGGTAGGCAACCTAAGGCCCGTGGGCCAGATGCGGCCCAATTGCCTTCTCAGTCCGGCCCGTGGATGGTTCGGGAATCAGTGTGTTTTTACATGAGTAGAATGTGTCCTTTTATTTAAAATGCATCTCTGGGTTATTTGTGGGGCATAGGAATTCATTCATTTCCCCCCTCAAAATATAGTCTGGCCCACCACAAGGTCTGAGAGATGGTGGACCGGCCCACGGCTGAAAAAGGTTGCTGACCCCTGGGCTATGCCTTTGATCTTAAGCACAACATTTTTCAAAGCCAGAAGAAGCAGAAATATAAGTTGTGTGTCTGTGTTTTTCCCCTCTTTCCCCCTCCTTCCTAGTGCTGGAATCGGCCGGACCGGAACATTCATTGTGATAGATATTCTCATTGACATAATCAGAGAGAAAGGTGAGTCCCACTGCTGTTGTGTCAGCCTTCGCCTGCCTGGTGGGTTACAATTTCCATCAGTCCCAGCCAACACAGCTGTATGATGCTGAGGCAGATGGGAGCATGGGCTTTCTGGAGGCAAGGGCTGATGGGCCACGAAGGCAGAGCACAGCCATCATGGCTGGTAGCCACCAATAGCCCTTCTCCTCCATGAATTTCTCCTACCCTCTTTTAAAGCCATTCAGGTTGGTGGTCATCACTGCCTCCTGTGGGACTGAGTTCCAGAGATTAACTATGCCCTGCATAAGAAAGGACTTCCTTTTATCTGCCCTGAATTCTCCAAAGTCCAGATACTTCGCAGTTCCACTTACCGTATTTTTCGCTCTATAAGACGCACCTTTCCCCTCCTAAAAAGTACAGTGGTACCTTGGGTTTAGTACTTAATTCGTTCCGGAGGTCCGTTGTTAACCTGAAACTGTTCTTAACCTGAAGCACCACTTTAGCTAATGGGGCCTCCTGCTGCTGCCGCGCCACCAGAGCATGATTTCTGTTCTCACCCTGAAGCAAAGTTCTTAACCTGAGGTACTATTTCTGGGTTAGCGGAGTCTGTAACCTGAAGCCTATGTAACCTGAAGTGTATGTAACCCGAGGTACCACTGTAAGGGGAAATCTGCGTGCGTCTTATGGAGCGAATGCAGGCTGCGCAGCTTTCGCTGAAGCCAGGAGAGTAAAAGGGATCGGTGCGCACCGATCCCTCTTGCTCTCCTGGCTTCAGGGATAGCCGCCCGAAGCCTCCTGAGCTGTGCATTGCGTTCGCTGAAGCCAGGAGAGCAACAGGGATCGATCCCTCTTGCTCTCCTGGCTTCACTTCGCTGGAGAGGCGCTTTCGCTGAAGCCAGGAGAGCAAGAGGGATCGATCACTCTTGCTCTCCTGGCTTCGCTTCGCTGGAGAGGCGCTGCGCAGCTTTCCCTCTCTGCTCAGCGCCCCTTCAGCGAAGCGGGAGAAGAAATGGAAGGGGCTGCGCGTCTCCTGCCGCTTTGCTGAAGGGGCGCTGCGCAGAGAGGGAAATCTGTGCAGGGCCCCTTTAGCGAAGCGGGAGGAGAAACAGAGCCCCTTCCGTTTCTCCTCCCGCTTTGCTGGAGAGGTGCTGAGCAAAGAGGGAGAGAATTCCAACACCCCCCCCCCGCTCTCCTCCTCTAAAACTAGGTGCATCTTATGGTCGGGTGCGTCTTATAGAGCGAAAAATACGGTGCTGTACCTGCTTCAAATGGAGCCTACAAACAAATGAAATTAGAACGAACTGGAGCCTCCAGGCCCAGGAGCAGTATCTTCTTGAGCCCCAAGTCCTACAGGCACTTCCTCAAGGCCTCTTCTGGTTGGTCACCGTGGAGAAGAGGTTGCAGGGCTTGGTGGGTCCTTGGTCTGACCCAGCAAGGCCATCCTTGCCTCCTCACACCCACGCTGCCCAGCCTAGATTGCTGCTCTTCAGGAACTTTGGATGTCAGTGCAGAAGTGGAAGTATTTCGCTGCCGGCATAAGCTGCTGCTGGCTTGGGAGCTTAGGCGTGACCTCAGCCGGAATGAGTGGAGCTGGAAGGGTTTTCTCTCGGGTCCTGCCTGGGCATCCCTGTCCTGCTGATCCTTTTTACTCCCTGCCCTCCAGGCGTCGACTGTGACATTGACGTCCCGAAAACCATCCAAATGGTGCGGTCCCAGCGGTCAGGGATGGTGCAGACGGAGGCCCAGTACCGGTTCATTTACATGGCGGTGCAGCACTACATTGAAACGCTACAGCGTCGGATCGAGGAGGAGCAGGTAACGCCTCGAGTCGGGCTTTGAAGCGGGGCTGCTTTGGCTAAGGTCCCAGCGGGCGGGAAGTTCCAGTCTTGCCTTTTAGAAATAGGATTGTCCTTCAGATTTCCCTTCGTATTCTGGTTTTAGCATCTGTGTTTGTTGGTTTACGTATTGTAAGTGTATTTTAGTTACCTTGGTTAAAAAAAAAAAAGGAACTGGTAAATTTAATTAATAATAAAACTAATATGATCAATAAGTGACCTCCCTTGCCTCCATGTGCTCTCTGTCTCTCTCCCTTTCAGAAGAGTAAGAGAAAAGGCCACGAGTATACAAACATTAAATATTCTTTAGCAGACCAGGCCAGTGGAGACCAGAGTCCTCTCCCACCCTGTACTCCAACTCCGACCTGCCCCGAGTAAGTAGATGATCTCCTTCCCTCTCCAAGATCACATGCAAGGGCAAAGTTCGACATCACAGCCCCCAGATACAACGGCAAGCGACACGACTGTGACAGCGATACAGTCGTACCTCGAACGCCTTGCGACCCGGAACGTTTTGGCTCCTGAACCCTGCAAACCCGGAAGTGACTGTTCCATTTTGCAAACGGTCTTGGGAACCCGAACGTCCGACGTGGCTTCCTACAATTGGAAGCTGTGCCTGGGTTTCCAAACGCTTTGGAAGTCGAATGGACTTCCGGAACGGATTCCGTTGGACTTTCGAGGTACGACTGTATATTAAAGAGGAGAAGAAACTTCCAACAAAGGATGGCAAAATACCATTGCAATTGCAAAGTGTAAATTTCAGCAAGGTTTACAAGGAACCAATATAGGCCCATTTATTATTACAGTATTATTATTACTACTACTACTATTATTATTATTAAGTTTTTCATCTAAGCAGATGAAAAACAGGCAGGCTTCCAGGTAACATTCTGTTTCCAAGGTCTTCTTCAGGTGTTAACACCTCAAAGGCCGTATATTTGCAGTTTTCACAACTGGGAGGACTTCATCTTCCACTCCTCTGGGCTTATCCATGTGAAAGAAGGCCCAGGATTGCACTGGAAGCAAAAATGCAGGAGGTGGGCTCCCCTGGGTCGTTCCTGTCCTTGTGCACCATTAAGAGGCTGCCTTTCCTTGTTACCCAAATGCCTAGGCGCTGTGGCTTTATTCACATGGAAAGATTTGGCAAGGCTTCTCTTACACTGTATGTAGAGCAAACCTTTTGGAGCTATAATGTAAAGGGGCGGGGAAACACCCACCCACACCTGTGCTTCAGCCTTGAAAAGTTTGCAAACAAATGGTCTCATCACAGAAAGATTTTCTGTGTCTCTGCAGGCTTTTTAAAAAAACAAATAAATGCAAAGTTTATAGTTTTTTTACTGAGCTTAAATCCTGCTTTTCTTGCTTTAGGAAACATAAAGCACATTTCTTCTGTGCCTGGAGCCTTCCAGATGTTTTGCACCATGATTCCCATCAGCGCCAGACAGCATGGCTCATGGGGGGTGTGGTCCAAAACATTTAGAGAGGATCCGATTGGCGAAGTCTGTTCTGAGTGACCCAGCCATCCAGCAAACAAATGGAAACAGCATCAGCGGAAACCTTGTCTTTGTGTTTCTTCTCTGTTTCCAGTGGATTTTAAAACCCCTTTGCTTCTCCCTCCAGGATGAGGGAAGACAATGCCATGAGAGTCTATGAAAACGTTGGTCTGATGCAGCAGCAGAAAAGCTTCAGATGAGATGAAATGAGCAGCGTTCCTTGTGAGGAAGGCAAGTCCGACTTGGGTTGTGGCGGGGCTTAGCAGAGGGTTGCACGTTAATGGGGATCAGGTGTGTGCAGGCTGCAAGCAAACTACATCCTTGCATTTCCAGATTCACTTCTCATGTGCTCCAGTGAAAGAATCTTGGGAGCAGGGCTGGGAACGACTTCCAGCTCGCACCCATTAAGACATGTTGCTAGTCTTTCGTGTCTGAGCACAATTCAAAGTGTTGGTGCTGACCTTTAAAGCCCTAAAAGGCCTCGGTCCAGTATATCTGAAGGAGCGTCTCTACCCCCATTGTTCTGCCTGGACACTGAGGTCCAGCTCCGTGGGCCTTCTGGCGGTTCCCTAATTGCGAGAAGTGAGGTTACAGGGAACCAGGCAGGGCCTTCTCGGTAGTGGCAGCAGTCTTGTGGAACGCCCTCCCACCAGATGTCAAAGAGAACAACAACTACCAGACTTTTAGAAGACATCTGAAGGCAGCCCTGTTTAGGAAGCTTTTAATGTTTGATGTATTACTGTATTTTAATATTTGGTTGGAAGCCGCCCAGAGTGGCTGGGGAAGCCCAGCCAGATGGGCAGGGTATAAATAATAAATGATGATGATGATGATGTGGGCCATTGATCTGGCTCAAGATGAAGCAGGTTCTCCATAGATTAGCGTGGCAGTCCTTAAAGCTGCAAAGCTCAGGCAGCTTTGGACAGGAGTGGCCACCTAGATGATGCTGGAAATGTAACTTCCATCATCCATCACCTTTGGTCAGGGCTGTATGGGAGTTGCAGTCCCCAGTCCCCTGTTATAGCGCCCTCTCTGTATATTGTGGAGAAAGGCATGAGGTAGTCCAGCATGTGTGCGATTCTACCTTCCCTATTCTCAGGGCAGTATCTCCTATCTTCACAACAACTTTGTGGGGTAAGTTAGGGCGAGAGAGGTTGGTCCAAGATGACCCAGCGTGCTTTGTGGCTGTGCGGATTTGAATCTGGGTCTGTCCAGGCTCAGTCCAATACTCCATCCCCGTTTCACCTTCCTGGTTCCCAAATTTGAGTTCCAGTCAGCCACTTGGGACCCACTTCTAGTTCCTCTCCTATTGCATGTGATTCCCCTCTGAATTGAAGAACGGAGATGAGCCTGAGCATCTGTTTAAAGGCTCTTTCTTCTTTTCTCCCTTTACAGAACTGAAATACCATTTTCTTTTCTAAGAAAGTGAAGCCAAGTGACTTGAGGAGCGTCCCATGAAGAGGAGTGGACTTTGACAGCTGCATAGAGCCTCTTATTTATGGTGTTTTTAACCCTTCAGTAATAAGCGGAACTTAAGACTATCTTTCGGAGAAACTCCTAATGCCTTTTCTCAACATTGTCTGATTTCTACAGTCCCCGATTTTGTTTTGTTTCCATTCAACTTGCGGTTCTTTTGCCTCCAGTGCAGACCAATACTCTGTTGTACTTGAACATTTTTCTCTCTCTCTCTCCTAGATGCTGAGGTTTTAAAGCTGTTTCCAATTAGATATATTTTTTTTTAAAGGAAAATCCGTTTCTTATACTTAAAAAAGAAATCAAGTAGCACGTCAGGTGATAAACTAATACTTTTTTCGTTGTTGGAGGTGTGTGTGTGTCAGTTGTGCTAATTAGACATTTGTTCCTCCCCTTCTGCCCCCTTACTCTTGGCCCTGCTTCTGGTGAGGAGCCAGTGACCGTTCTGGAACAGGGCACGTTGATCAGTTAATTTGTTCAAGACTTTAGTCCTCAAGGTGTCTGTCTTTCTTGGAAACGACGTTGCTTCTCTAGAACTGCCAATGATGCATGGTTTGCACCAGAGAAAACTAGTTTGTTTCTTAGAGCCTGCTGGGCAACTGTTAAGATGGTTGCTGCTGAATTCTGAGTGTTTTGGGTCGGGTGGTTGGGGGGAAGAGAGAGAAAGAGAGAGAGAGAGAGAGAGAGAGAGAAAGGGAGTGGTAGCTAAACTCTGATTCTGTGGTCACAATGTTGGTGGCGTTCTGGAGTAAGCAGCCCAGCCTCTTTATCCGAGGCTCGTCTGGGGAGCAATCTCCTTTACTGCCCTGCCTGTGAGCATCCCAGGTGGTGTGTTAAAAGCAGGACACTGAACTAAACTGACCGGAATGACCCACTGGGGTTTTTCTTGTGTTCTCCACCCTCTCTCCTTAAGAGGGGCAAGCGGTCGGATCTTCGGCAGTTGCGTTTCCCTGAATGTTGCCTCGGCCGTGTGAAAGGGGAGCTCTTGCTTCACGTTGCCTTGTGAGGGCGGAGGAAGATCTGGTTTCCAAAATGTCTTAGCAGCATATTCCGTTAAGCATAGATGTTCTGTGGTTAACATTCTGCCTTTTATTTCAAAGTGCCTTTCCCCTCCTGCCTCCCAGCTCCAAAACCATCTCTCCCCAGCTGGTGTAGTTTTCCCCCCCTGTCGGTGGAGTGGCGTTCAGCTTCTCTAAGTGGTCCTTTTGTGACCGTTGAAACCGTAGCCCATCCCGGAAGCAGGACAACACCCTTCCTTGTCCAGCCTTTGCGGGGTTTGGGGGTGTGTGGTGGCAGGTTCTGATCAGTGGGGTGAGGTGGGGAGGCTTTTTCCGGAGGCCTTTGGTTGGCAGCGTAAGCCAGAGATGTCCTCCAAGGGCTGCTTTTCCCTTTGAAGCTGCATGGGAAGCCGACGTGCTTAGGTCAGAGCTGGAAAAACCTAATTTTAAGGCAGCGCTGTTGGGAAATCAGCCTCTTGTTGCCTTGGCTGTGCGTACAGCATTCTTAAATACAATTAGGATTTTTTAAAAATGTGCACCCAGAAAAACTGCATCCTGCAGTCTAAATGATGTAAATGGAGCAAACTTGCATAATTTCTCTGACTTCTAATAATCGGTTCCGTAGTTTTAACTACACCCCCCTCCCCACTTTTTACTGGCATTGCTGATTATGGGGAGAGTAATGGGGCTATTAGATTCCCCTGCCCTCCACTGAGGTTCTGAGATTTCAGCTTGTGTTGCCTGTGCACTTGAGGACTAGAACCTTGTCTAGTTTTGTTTTGTTTCAAAAGAAAGCTTCTCTTGAAGTTGAATCCTTCTCTCCCGCCACTTTGTTCAGAATCACAGTGTGCACACAGCCATGCTCGTTGCGAGTTCAGCTTGATTGAATGGGAGGCCAGGAGGAGTGGAAATCTTCAACGTTTACTGTCCTTATAAAATAAAAAAACCCACATTTTTTGCCCTATCTTCTGACTTCAAATTTTGGAACTCCTGTAAGCGGCTATGCCTGATGTTTTGCATCTTACGCCTCAGCCTAGTCGGGCCACAGAGGAAGCTCCCTTTCTGCCTTCTCCTCAAATTTCACCTTAGCTTTAGCAGAGACTTTGTCGTAGTTGCGGCCAAGAGGTTGGGAGCGCACGAGAAAGGTGTGTGGCAGAGCCCCCCAACATTGGACAGATGGTGCCATCTGTCCCTACAAGCAGATGGTACTGGGGTGGGGCGAGGAATTTGGTCCTGGTGGAGGAAGCTCCTGGAGGTGTAAGAGTTGGACAAGGGCAATTTTCAGGAGCTGAACCCCACTTACCCAAGCTAAGGCGCAGGGCCATGCCTTACGATGGACCTGGGGCAGCAACCAAAATCGGGGTCCCTGTTTCGTGTTCTCCTCCTTCCCTTCCTCATACGGAGTAAAAACCTCAACCTGTTTCCTGGTGTCGCAGTGCTAAGTTTCCCTGTGTGCTGTGCTTTGCTCCTCAAAAAATAAATAATTGGGTATTCCTGGCAGGGAAACCTGTAGCGACCCCAGGGCGCAGTTAAGTTTGGCTGCGTGTTATGAAACGGGAGAACTAGACACGGGGATGCCAATTTTGGCTGCCACCTCACTTTCCTGGGAAGCGCCCGGTTCCATCCTGCATCAGCACCCCTGGGTTTCTTCTGATAGATGGTTCTCAACGGGAATGGTTGAAAGCGTACCCATAGGATGGAAATCTTTTTTAAAAAAAGAGTGCCCTGAACGTTGTTGCTTGCCACCTTTTTAATGCGTTGTGTTGGCTCCTGAGAACTTTGACTTCAAATTCGAGGGGGCTGAAACCCTGTTCAGTTTTTTTTGGGGTGTGTGTGTGACTGAAGGACTCCAGAATCACCAGCGCTTCTTCTGGTGGACATATTTTATTTTTTCCCAGAAGAACGATGCTGAATCCTTCCTTCCTTCCTTCCTTTGCACCTGCTAAGAGCTGAGTGGATTGCTGGTGATGTCATTGAACGCTGCCCCCCCCTTCTCCCAATGGTCCCTCAAATTTTGCTACCTGAAACAGTCACTATTATTGTTGTTGTTGTTTTGGAAGGCTTGCCAAATGAGAGTTTTAAAGGAACAAAATTCCACCTTGAGCACGGAGCCTGTAGGGAACATTGATGCAACCCTATCTTTCTTAAGACTGACAGGTCTGGCATCTCCTTCCAAAATGCAGTGCTCTGTGATCTCTTCTCTTCTCTCCTCTCCTCTCCTCTCCTCTCCTCTCCTCTCCTCTCCCACCCCAACCTAGATGTCTATTAGACCACTGGCTGAAATATGCCATCAGGCAAACAAATGCTATAGGACTCTTGACAAGGTGGTCATAATCTTGACATAGAGTGTTTGCCTTTTCTGTCCCAGGAGCTTTTAAAGCAGGAGGATCAATACATGCAATGGTCCCCCCCATCTTTATATCTGCCCCCCCCCCAGCCTGAGTGAATACGGTTCAAGAAAAGCTCCACTGTGTGATACTTGTGACTAGGATTTCGGTCGCCTGCCTGGTTTAAGTAGGAACGTGGCATGTTGAATGTGCGGTTATTATTTTTCTCAGAGCACGTGATTACAGAATGTCATTGCTGAAACTTGAAAAAAAACAAAACCTCCAAGATGATTGTGCTGAGATGAGAACTTGAATAAGATCTTTGGGCCTTGCTGAAAACCAAAAGGAGACCTGTTCTTGTGGTTGTTGTTGTTTGTTTCTTTAAAAAGCTGTCTTTTTAAAATAAAGACCATTGCTGTGAGTGCCCTTTTGCGGAAGCAAAACTTCAGTGAACTTCCGTAGCAATAGGGACACCCAACCCCTTTCCCAGGGATGGGACCCACAGGTAGCAGTATGTAAGGGGGTGGCTGCATAGATATTGTGTCTTAGAAGTTCTGGATGAATTTTTGTGGACTTGCAAATGGAAGGCACATGGAGGAATCAGAACAGTTATCGAATGTATTTTAAACGATCCTTCCTAAATTGATCTCTGAAACAGCCAAAGGCTTCAAGGGTTCTAATGACTTAATTTTAAATGTCGGGGAAGATTTTTTTTTACATATTTTGGAGGTCAAGGGAATGTCCTTTAATTCTGGAATTGTCTTGACTTTTGAAAAGTCTGCCCTGTCTTTTCTTTAAGTGGAAAGTTGCAAAATCTGAGACGTGGAATATTTTCACTGAAAAGTTGCATTTCCCTGGTCTCGCATGTCCCACCTCCTCCTATTTTGGGGGAGAGCACTCAGAACTCTCCATGGCCAATTTTCCTGACCTTGACGCCATGCGAGTGAAATTTAGTGACCCCTCCAGAGGCAGTGATTCCCAGACTCTTGAGGAATGTACGGTAACAGGCTAGTTACCTGCTGGCAAATCTGCTAGGTCTGCAGCAGGGGTGATTGGATCAGTCAGTTGCTGCCAAGGCAGAAAAAATTATCCATGCTCAGAGGCTGCTCTTTGTCATGTCTCTGCATGAGTTTGGCAGCACACCCAGATCAGGGACTCATACAGAGGGGCCTGGTGCTCTTCTAAGGGCAGATAACACTTATTCTTTCACATACCGTATTTTTCACCCTATAGGGCACACTGGCCCATAGGGCGCACCTCATTTTGGGGGGGGGGAAATAAATAAATAAAAATTTATTTCCCCCCCAGCCACGGGGCTGGGGCGGGGGAAGCCCGAGCTTCCCCAGCCCCCAGAACAGGCTGTTGCCTGCAAGCCCGCGGGAACTCCCGCCGGGCGCGCAACGCTTGCGGATAGCTTCCTGAAGCCTGGAGAGCTTGAGGGGTCGGTGCGCACCAACGCCTCTTGCTCTCCAGGCTTCAGCGAAAGCCTGCATTTGCCCCATAGGATGCACACACATTTCCCCTTCATTTTTGGAGGGGGAAAAGTGTGTCCTATAGGGCGAAAAATACGGTACTCTAAGGCTTTTGGAGTTTGTGAGTGAAGAATGTCTCCTTTTTTCTAATTTAAGAGAAAAGCATTACCTCAGAGTTTGGGAAGCCCTGGCCTATGAGGATGATCCTTGCCGGTGTGCCATTGCTTACTGAATGTTTGATGATAACGTACTTCCATTTTTTCACCGACTCTTTAGAAGAAAGCTCCTGTCAGTCTCAACGAAATGTTTTATTCCCCCCTCCCCCCATGAAATTTCATGTTTAAAACGATTTTACTTTGTTATTCTGTAGTGAGAAACGATAGCTTCTGTTGTTAAAGGTATGTGGGGAGACGATAAATGAAATAACTGGGAACTAGCTGGGCTGGAAAACTCGCAAACTAGAAATTTTGAGCAATTTGACGTATTTCTCAGCCCCAGATACTAGGATGGGGCGGAGGCTTTATATCATAATTTTGTGTTGTGTTTTGTTATTATTTCTCCAAATTTTAATCCTTAATGCCTGTCTTCTTTAATTTATGAACACCCTTGTGACTTTTTTTATATATATATATAAAAAAAACGACGCTAACGGCTCGACGAGAGAAGATCTCTGTTATATTCATCTAGGTTGAAAAATAGCTTTCCCCCTTCCTTATTCTCTTCCCCCTCTTCCAGCAATGTATGAAGTATTGTACCAGAGTATTAAATGAAATGTAATATTTTATTGAGGGGGGAGGGAAGAGAGAGAAAAAGGACCTCAGCCTTCTCCTTTAAAAGGAATGCATACGTCAACAGGTTTTATGTGAATCGTGTACATGTTCCAGATGCGCTCCGACATCCAGAAGGGGCGCAGCTCACAGCCAGACGCTTGGCCTGGGTCGTCCCCAGCCTGCAGGTTCTCGCCGGCGTGTGGGGCTGGCCAGATCGCCCCCCACGCTGTTTCAAAGCCCTCGTCTTCACTGCCTTCAGTGCCCATGTATCCTGTAGACCCTTTTGCAATCATGTGACATTAAAAGGCAAAAGAAGAAGAAAAAGATCACGTGTAGAAAACTTAACTGATTTGTCTTGTCTGTCCCCAGCCTGTATTTATGGGTGTTGAAGTCTGGCTGCGTCGCTGGCTGTGCTGTGTTTTTGTTTTCAATTGCTCCAAGGCTTATTATCCAGAGTAAAAGCATTATTTGTAAAACAACAGAACTTAAAAAATATATATAGGAATAAAAAAAAAATCCATTTTCTTATACCTGTTTCTTGAATGCTTTTGTATCGCTAGTGCAGGGTGATGTTAGTTTGCGTCTGTGGGAATTCTGTGTGAAAACTCCCGATAATGCAATTAGTATAAATTAGGCAGTGCTTGTGCATTCACATGAATTCTTACATGGAAATACTTCTCCCATATGCAACTCTTCTTCTTATGGAGAATTTGGTGCATTTGGGCTGGGAATGTAAATAGTCAAGGGGTGAGAGAGAAGAGGTGGGGTTGGTTTCAAACCCCTTGAATTCAGGAGGGATATGACATATTGAGGAAAGGTAAGGAATGGTATCTTCCAGGCTACTTGTTCACTTTTACGTCATGAGGACTAGAATCTTTTCAAAACTCTCTTAAATAAAATCAAAAGATAAACGAATGCCCATTTTTAATAATAAACCTCGTCTTCGCTTTCAATTTTTGACTTAATGTGGGGGCTTTGGCCAAAGATAGTTGGCCAAAAGTCCTTTAGTGTAGTGGTTAAGAGCGGTAGTCTCGTAATCTGGGGAACCGGGTTTGATTCCCCGCTCCTCCACATGCAGCTGCTGGGTGACCTTGGGCCAGTCACACTGCTCTGAAGTCTCTCAGCCCCACTCACCTCACAGAGTGTTTGTTGTGGGGGAGGAAGGGAAAGGAGAATGTTAGCCGCTTTGAGACTCCTGAAGGGGAGTGAAAGGCGGGATATCAAATCCAAACTCTTCTTCTTCTTTTGGTACAGGGTGATATTTTGGGGGTTTTTCCCCGAATGGAAACAATCCCTCAAACAGCAAAAGTCGAGAGCTACAGTCAGGCCTGCTTCTGTCCAGCAGAATCTGAAATCTCACCACAGAATGAGGATACCTGCTAGCATCATGAAGGAAAAGAGCAAGTTTCTATGGAAGTTTCTAGCCTTCATGGCTAGGAAAATACTTCAGCAGTGCATGAGACTGAATGGGCCTTCCCAGAAGCAGAGCTGCTTCTCTGTTTACTGCAACACCAGAATAAATTCGCAATACACCACACAAAAGGCTGGCGATTCGGTTGCAGCTGGTTCCAGATCAGCAGATTTGGCTGACTTCAGCCTACAAATTGTACTTTTATTTTTATTTTTATTTTAGCTAAAGCAGAGGGTTTACATAGCCCTCACCATTGTTTGCCAGTTTTACTGTCTGCCAGAAATGAGAAACGGCCCGTCTGGCATGAGTACCCGATCTTCCATCTAGCGATTGCATTAGAAACTTGGCAACCTCCTTTATGCTTTCTACTGAAAGAGGCAGATTTATCTTTTGCTCCCCGACAGGATATAACAAAATGAGCATGACGGCAAGGAAACGTGGACACTGACAATGTTGGTGAAGTTGTAGAGAGCTGTGGGCCTCGTTTTTCCTTCCTTCCAATTTGGAAACTTGACTAAGAAGAAGCATCTACAATGTGACACATGTCCCACCTGCCCAGTATTTGGACCGGTTCTGGCGCGGCATTTTTTAAATGGCTTGCAAAGTTCCACCGGGTGGTTTGAATGAGCAAGCCCTCAAGACTGAACTGGAAGAAATCCAGTATTCCTGGGAAGTGCAAACCCCACTTTGTCTAGAAACCCTCTTATTAAAACACAACACTTACTCCATCATCGGGGCTTGACTGGGAATGTTAGACCCCACAGTTTCCCGCACATCTCCAACCATTGCCCTGAAGGCTACGAACCTGCTTTGAAGGGTAGGGGCAGAAATATGAAAAGCTAAGGTCCGAAACACCTTGTAAGATTCCGTTTTTCCTCAGCTTGAAAAAAAAGAGACATTTTAGAGCTGGACAAAAATACAGAAATGGCTTATGAAATCTATACAGAGTGAGAAGAAATTCGATGAGGTGTTTCATTTCCCAGAATAATAGAATTGTAGAGTTGGAAGAGACCCCAAGGGTTATCTTGGGCGGGGGTCAGTCTAGATGAAACCATGGGTCCCTTTCAGTCCTGCTTAAAACCTAGAACAAGAGGCAGCTGAACAAGACAAACCAGTGTCTTTGTTAAGCTAATGGGCCTTCGCCTGGCCAGTTAAGTACAGTGGTACCTCTGGTTAAGAACTTAATTCATTCTGGAGGTCCGTTCTTAACCTGAAACTGTTCTTAACCTGAAGCACCACTTTAGCTAACGGGGCCTCCTGCTGCCGCTGCGCCGCCGGAGCACGATTTCTGTTCTTATCCTGAAGCAAAGTTCTTAACCTGAGGTACTATTTCTGGGTTAGTGGAGTCTGTAACCTGAAGCGTTTGTAACCCGAGGTACCATTGTACTGCCATTTGCCGTATCCAAAGAGTGACCTCTGTTGCCGTAAAGACAAGTGGGTGGGCCTTTTCCCACCTCGCCTGGTTGGATGCCACCTCATCCTACGATGGAGAACAATAAGTGAGGAAAGGGGCTGTGTATGGGAGTGTTGTTTGCGTCAGGTGGACTGATGCTGATATCTGGAGACAGATATGTCTGCCATTTGTGGGTCCCAAGAGCTGTGACTTGGGAGTTTCCCTGGAACCCTAATGAGGAAGCAGGATGAGATGAGGTCTTAATGCTGCGAGCCTCTCCATCCTATGTTCAGCTTGTATAGAAAACCATATATCCTAAAGACAACGCAGCCCCCATTGACCTCCAGGGAAACAGCCTTGAGTTAGTGCTGGGACCCCAAGAGTCTCTTGCTGCTTGGATTGTGGGCTTGGTGTAGCAAGTCTGTCGCCTGCTGCCCCAATTTCTGGGCGGTGTGTGATTCTAGGGGTTCCAGACATCTGTGTTTCCTCTTGGAAGTCAGGCACAGCGGACACTCAGGGTCTTTATGATATATGGCTTATTTACGCATATATACAATCTAGGGACGCAGGTGGCACTGTGGGTTAAACCACAGAGCCTAGGACTTGCCGATCAGAAGGTCGGCGGTTCGAATCCCCGCGACGGGATGAGCTCCCATTGCTCGGTCCCTGCTCCTGCCAACCTAGCAGTTTGAAAGCACGTCAAAGTGCAAGTAGATAAATAGGTACCGCTCTGGCAGGAAGGTAAACGGTGTTTCCGTGCGCTGTTCTGGTTCGCCGGAAGCGGCTTGGTCATGCTGGCCACATGACCCGGAAGCTGTACACCGGCTCCCTCGGCCAATAAAGCGAGATGAGCGCCGCAACCCCAGAGTCGGTCACGACTGGACCTAATGATCAGGGGTCCCTTTACTTTACCTTTACAACCTGAGCCTACGATGGAGGGGCTCACAGCATCAACATGAGCAAAGGGTCCTGTTTCTCCCATAACCGCAGCCTTGGATTCAAACCATCACTTTCTGACCAACTCTCCAGCTTGCTGCCTTTGCCGGCCTGAAACCTTTCCCCCTCTTTCTTCCCACCCCCCTGTTTTTTTCCACAGCCAGCTCTAAAACTGTGCTTCAAACTCCGTTTTCTAACTAACTGTGAGTTGAGGAGGGGCCTCACTCATTTACCCTCTGACACAGAGCCCCCTCTCCTTAGCTTTCTTAATGGACCATCACCTGCCCTTTGTTTTCTGAATGGCTCACCTTTCAGGCGATTCCCTCATGAGGAAGCTAGCCTGGCTTATATGTTAACCCTTGATGGACCCAGGGGTTTAGGAGGCTTGAATTAACTCTAATACAGTACTTACCGGATCCAGGAATTTAGGGGAGTCTGAGACACACAACACACACCCCAAACTCATAACAATACATATTTTTACCTACCTAGCAGGTGCTTGGTTTTCTTTTGTTTTGACTTACCTGTAGTCCTTAAACTTGCTTTTTTACCCACTGTGCTGAGGCCCCAATACTTTGGCCACCTCATGAGAAGAGAAGACTCCCTGGAAAAGACCTTGATGTTGGGAAAGATGGAGGGCACAAGGAGATGGGGACGACAGAGGACAAGATGGTTGGACAGTATTCTCGAAGCTACCAGCATGAGTTTGACCAAACTGCGGGAGGCAGTGGAAGACAGGAGTGCCTGGCGTGCTCTGGTCCATGGGGTCACGAAGATTCGGACACAACTAAGCGACAAAACAACAACAACAAGCTGCTATTTTTGTTAGAAGCATAGTTGCTTATGGCTGGAAGAAGCATTCCATGCCTTCACTTAATGTCAGTGAATACCAGTGGCAGAAATGTCCCTTGGTTGCCATGGCAATGTCATCCTCCCGCTTCTGATGTGGCCTGTTTAACCTGGAACTGACACTTCTATTTATCTGGAAGACAGGAAGAACACTGTACAGGGACTGTGGTTGATGGAGTGAATTCAGTGGGGCCAGGAAAAACCCCATGCTGGCTCTTGCTATCAGGTTGAATCCTGACAAGACAGAAGTACTGTTTTGGGGGGACAGGAGGCGGGCGGGTGTGGAGGACTCCCTGGTCCTGAATGGGGTAACTGTGCCCCTGAAGGAGCAGGTGCGCAGCCTGGGAGTCATTCTGGACTCACAGCTGTCCATGGAGGCACAGGTCAATTCTGTGTCCAGGACAGCTGTTTACCAGCTCCATCTGGTACGCAGGCTGAGACTCTACCTGCCCGCAGACTGTCTTGCCAGAGTGGTGCACGCTCTAGTTATCTCTCGCTTGGACTACTGCAATGCGTTCTATGTAGGGCTACCTTTGAAGGTGACTCGGAAACTACAACTAATCCAGAATGCGGCAGCTAGACTGGTGACTAGGAGTGGCCGCCGAGACCATATAACACCGGTCATGAAAGACCTACACTGGCTCCCAGTACGTTTCCGAGCACAATTCAAAGTGTTGGTGCTGACCTTTAAAGCCCTAAACGACCTCGGTCCAGTATACCCGAAGGAGCGTCTCCACCTCCATCGTTCTGCCCGGACACTGAGGTCCAGTGCCGAGGGCCTTCTGGTGGTTCTCTCGCTGCGAGAAGCCAAGTTACAGGGAACCAGGCAGAGGGCCTTCTCGGTAGTGGCACCCGCCCTGTGGAATGCCCTCCCATCAGATGTCAAAGAGAAAAATAACTACCAAACTTTTAGAAGACATCTGAAGGCAGCCCTGTTTAGGGAAGCTTTTAATGTTTAATAGGTTATTGTATTTTAGTGTTTTGTTGAAAGCCACCCAGAGTGGCTGGGGAAACCCAGCCAGATGGGCGGGGTATAAATAAATTATTATTATTATTCCTAGAATTGCCTTTACTGCAGCTACACCTCTGGAATCCTGCCCCCGACCCCTGTTGAAATGTCACCTTGGGGCACAGACCAGTCCCTTTTTACTGCTGCTCTGTTTGAAGAGCCAACACT